CTGACCAGTGTTTGATATTTGAGCTATAAAATAAAAATTAAGTAACTTACCAAAGAAAAAGCATTCTTAAGAAACTACATTGTGCATTCTTATTGTTTCACTAATTTTTCTCTATTGATCTGCTTTACGTTGTAGTAGTTTCCTTCATCACAAAACTTTTATCCAAAATAACTAAACTTTTAAAGTAAATAATAATATAAATAGAATGATAGCATATACATTCAAATGCCAGACTTGAATTACAGACTTTTCAGTATAAAAAACAGGAAAGAGAGGGAGGTATTGCCTTGTGAGTCTAAGACATACATGCATTTCTAGGTCTAAAACAGAAAATGAAAACATTTTAATTTAACTTGAAAAAAACAACAAGTAATATTATGGCATACATTTATAAAAGTGCAAGAAGTGCATGTAATAAACCCATGTTTTATCAAAAAGAACTCTTCCATGGATCGTTGCATAAATCTCAGAAATTCTGATCTCATATTAACCACTTGGAAGATGGACTGTTATTGGCCAGAGACTTAGTAAAGGCAAACTAAAACCAGTATCACTATTTTTAAGAGCGACCAAATGACATGCATAAATATCAAAGTACGTCTAAATTTTTAAATGATCGTAAAATAAACATTAACAATTAGAACAGAGAAATACAAAAAAATTACATGGATGGAAGCAACTGACTAGATACAAGCACGGAGGAATCTGGGCATACAAATAACATGAATCAACAAAATGGTATTGCCATTTTTAAAACAATCAAGTATTGTAACAGATGAATGCAAATAGTCTTAAGAGCTATGGAAAATTAATATTTGAAGCTCCTATTCTAAGATAGGCCACAAGAAAGGGTCACAGTCATTCTAATCTTGCTTGGATATCCCAAAATATAGCTGGTACTTAATAAAAACATATTGTCTAAATGAAGATCATTAAATAAGAACCTGGAACCATGTAGTAATGGTTCCACCCGGGAAGCCCACAGCCAAACATAAACCTGAATTTAAAAGACGTGCCACAGAGTAATTATCTTAGTTAGGATCTTTAACTTTAAAATTTTGTAGAAAATAATGATGGATACTTTGACTCCTAAAGCAGCGAATGTATTGGAGAGTTTAAGGAAGGTCAACATATTGAGGCAACAAAGCAAAGAGTTACATCTTCCCAGAGGTAAAAATGGCAGCTATTACAATCTTGAAAGATGGGCATATTAAGAAGTGGGTCCACTAGGAAAAAATGGGAGTTAAGATAATTTAAGTGAAAAAGTCAAGGATTGGAAAAGCAATAAGCTTTGATATATGAAACATTATTGTGAACCAATTTTTCTGATTACCAAGGTAGAATGTGAGGAGTCTGACTGCCTTGACTTTTAGTAAGTTATCAAAACATCTGCAGAATCCACTGAGCTTTTTACATGTACTAGAATACTGCCATTCTACATGATAAACCACATTAGAACATTTGATACATAATCTAGTTTAAAAAAGAAAATGCTAAAGTTCTATTCATTTAGAACAAATTTAAGAGGAACTTATCCTACCAGCATAGTGTGGCTCCATATTTAAATATTTGCCCTTACTTTATTAAAGATATCTAAGCTTTGGTTTCATAATCAGTTCAGTAAATTAATGCTAAAGGCAGTAATTCCTTATACTTGTTTTAAGCTTTAGATTAAAATTAAACTGTTTTCATCATACATACATTGAATGTGAGGCTTTTACATCTAAAGTTTTTCTCTTCTAACAACATTACCATTCAATAAAATAATGAAAACAGGGACAAGAAATGGTATGCATTTTTTATTTTTCGTCCCAATACTAACATTGAAACTCTTTTCTAATAATAATTTGGAGTGAGAATTCCAATATAGCCTAAGGTACTTTGTAAGTGGTCATTCTAGTCTTTTAAAAAAAATCTTGTAATACAAAATTCCTTTTTCTGACAGGATCAGAAATCACTACCTACCTTTAAGAACAGCAATAAAAAAGTGAGTTAACTATTACTATAAATTGAGAAGACACCTGATTGATTCTTAAATAAATGATTCTTAGCTTTATCATTTATTTAATAATAATCATTTAATAATGATCTTCATGTTAAAAATTATTAAGAAGCTTTTAAAAGGACAATTAACTTCTGGATTTATGGTAACTGCTCTGTAATGCTACTTTAAAATAAGACTATGTATTTAAATAAATGCACTTAGAATACAGTTCTTTGAAGAATATTAGCATTTAAACAGTGAGATTAATCAAATGACAATGAAACTATCTTCTTTAGGAAAAAGAAACTAAACACTATACAGTAAAAGCAATGATTGAAAAATCTTGATTTCTGTTTTCAAGAGGGTTGATTTAATTTTTCTACAGAATTAACAATCATTACTTCCATATCAAAAAAGGTATAATTTAGGAGAAAGAGTAAATCCACAAGAATTTTGTAATTTTTCCTAACCACTTTTCATTTTTAAGATGTGATGATTTATGGGCCTAATGGAGATAATTTTCAGAAAACATACCCCAAAAAAATCCATGTTAAATAACAACAGTGGACCTTAAAGGCATGATCTTTTGTCACTTTATTGTTAACCAATGAATGTTATCCAAAACTATAGATGTAACTGTAACTTAATTGTACAACACAAAATTATGCTAATGGTAAAAGCCTCTTGGAATTTACCAAACACTCATTAATATATTTTACATTGCTATATGAACATGTGCTCTCAAATGCTAGTAATAAAAGTTTTAATTGGTTTAATCACTATGAAAACCCATATTGCAAATAGTTGTTCCTGTTTAGAAAAATTCACACAGCTTTAAAAATGGATAACTCCATTTTAATCCTAATCTACAAAGAGTATAAACAGCAAATATAACTGGTAATTTTTGAACACTGATATCAAACCGATGTAGCAATGGCAGTGCACACAATTCAAAATGAAGAAAATTAATAAAAAGCCCATGGTAGTCCACATTTTCACCTGTTATGGCAATTGCTTTAATGCTTTGGAAAATTCAACACTCATGCTTTAAAGCTTGAGTGCAGGGTTCACCATGTATTCCCCCAATGTGCTGAACAGAGAAACAGTCTCTTCAATAGTGTTTTGAAGCATGTGTACAACCACTGTACAACAGTCACTTCAAGGTTAACCAGTTATATTTTGTCCTACAAAATCCAAAAAATATATTAAATGTAACCTTTCCTTTTTATAATGTCTGCCCAGATTAATCCTTTTAAAGTCAGCAAAATCAAAAAGCGTAAGAGATATTTTCAGACACAACTTGAATCTACTGTGCATGAAAAATGTCTTAACAAAATGGCAATTTCAATAGGTAAATGTCAATCTGAATGTATAATACCAAATGCAAAGTAGCTGAACCACACAGAGAAAACAAGGCTTTCCTTATCTCCAAATTCAGATGTTTTACAATAAGAAAATGTTAGAACATATGAATATTAGAACATCTTTCAAAATGGAAAGATTTCTTCTAAAGACATAATTGAACTTAATATTTATTACCTAAAATTATAATTTATAAAATAGGATTAACAAACCAAATTTAAGTACTCTTAGTTAGAGACCAAAAAAAAAAAAAAAAAAAAAAAAATTAAGCACAATGATTTAGGAACCAAATGTGCTAAAATGATTATGTAACAATTACACCAAGAAATGAAGGTACAGACATGCTTCACCTGCTCCAAAGGCAACATCTCTGACACACAAACACGCGTGCTCGCATACACACTCCTTCCCAAGACATACAACACCTCTCCAGGAAGATAGTATACCAGTGAAAACTTACAATTTTAATACAATTCAGAGTCCCACAGTTCAGCTCAATAAAAAGGCAGTTAAAAATTTAGCACTCTGAAATATTTTGAAGGAAAAGAAAATCTCAAACATAGTCGTTCATGATTGAAAGTATTACTATGCATTATAAAACATTTAACTTTAACACTCCATTGTGTTGACCAACCAGTCATCGCAGGTGTAGTGGTGAGGTAGTATTACTGTCCCCTCATGGGACTGATGTTTTCATATGCTGCCCTTCCAGGAAGGTCCAGAGTTTTTAGTGATTATAGTCAATTACCAACAAATATGTATTTTCTTTTATTAAATGTCTGTCTAAACCAATCTGTGAAAGAGCAGAACTTTAAAAATCTTTCAGACAACTGTTATTTGCAGGTAGTATGTCATCAATAAACTCTTCTAGGGAACTACTACCTGCTCTCTACACCTTTGTGAATAGGTAGGCAAGGAAAACCAAAGGATGACAGAAGATGACACACTAATCAATTCAGCTGTCAAAGATGACTGTAATTAAGTAAACAAGGATCAAATATCCAATAATGTAATAAAACTGGGATTAAAAAATTAACCACCAGCTGCACACTACACTGTTAAACTTTCTAATCCTTCTCATTATTTACAGCCATTTTCTACACGATTATCAAAGACTGTCCACCTGTGACCTACACTCATTGTAACACTGCCAATGATCTGCATTGCAGCAGAATTGTGGCTATGGGCACGGCAAGATATGAGAAGGGCATACTGAGAAAATATGAGAGAAAATGTAAAATACAGGCAGGTAAAATAAGGGGCAAGGGAAAACAGAGTCCTCAACCTAAATGCTCATGAAAATCATCATCATTCTTTAAAATGTACAAAGTGCTTAAATCACACATACACATTTGTCAGACATGATAATTAGTGTTAATCTTCAACAGAAAAAAATGGAAAATGCAAAATATGAAAGGAGGTGATGAACACTGTCCTCCATTCCCTGGCTCAAATGAAATAGAAAACCAAGCATGATGTCACACTGCCTTAATGTTGAAGAGCTCCCCTTAAATATGTCTTTTAGCCACCAGAGTCAAACTGGTATAAGTGCTTTGGCAAGGTGGGATGCATTCCATCACATCTGCAAAGGCCTGCTTTTCTCTGTTGGTGGTTCAGCTTATGAAGAACATGTATGCAAAATAACAGCTCTCACATTGCTTCAAACTCATCAATACGTTGCTTGGTATTGCCTTGTCGAATCTGTCGCAGAGTCTTGTATTTATCACGGCCTGCTTTAACATTCTCAGCATGAAGAACATCATTTTGTGTTTTCTTGGTTTCATCTCTGGCTTGGGCTAATTCTGAACTTAATGCCTATGTTTAAAAAATAAAAAAGTATAACTTATTTTTTTCTTAGATTTTAAAAACTTAAGAAAATGACTTAAAAAATATTAAATTTCTTAAAAAAGAAATTTGCTTTTTAATATATTAAAAATTCCACTGTTAAATCTTTAAACTGTATAACTTTGTTTTACTTTTAGCAATTGTGGGGATAGTGGTTAGGAAGAAATACCCATGGCTTTTCATTTCTATACCCAATCAACTATTACGATTTTGCGTATTGATCTAAATTTCCTTAACTTTCTCACAATACTTGAAATGACTTACAGAACTTTAATGTAGCCACTACAGAATAATGTTATTGTAAGATCCAAAAACTACACTATGAGAGATGTAGTTTTCTCCAGAAGTCTTTGCATATTTATTACAATTATCACCTTTCTTTTCTTTATTAATATCTAAAGATTTCACCAATTAAAAAATTAGGAAACAATGGGAAAAAGTCAAGGAATATTAAAATTTCCTATTTTGCTCTCATTGCATAATTATATCAATAAGTAAATAAGTCAGATGATGTAATGTCACACAGGTATCCTATTAAATTATCATTGCTTTTTAATATACACTGTTTAAAAACTAAATTCGTTTGTTTTTTAAACACAGCATGAAAATACTTTTATCTTTAAACATGGGTCAAGCTATAATTAAAGATTAATTCACTAGTTCAAGCCTGATTACGTAAGGCTAACAAACTCCATTTGCTAATGGAGTCACGTAAGAAATGAAATGATGCGCCTGACGGCCAAGCACTCACCGACCAATCAATCACAAGGTCAGCTAGTGTTAAAGCTTCCAAAAACCAAATGTTCCTTTCTAGTAACTTTGTCTTGATAAATGAGGGAAATGCAAACTATATCTTAAATATTTATACAACTGCAAATTTTAAATACCTGGAGTTGCTTTTTAACACGCTCATTTTTCTGTGTTTCTGTTACACGTTCCTCCTCACTTCTATGGTTCATTACCCCATCATTTGATAATTCAGCACTAGCCTCAGCATTATTTTCATCATGTTCATCATGTTCATTTTCGGTTGGAGGAATGACTGGTGGTGGTGGAGGTGGAGGGGGGGCAGACATTACGCTTTTTAACTCTTCTTTGGTCTTTTCCAAGTCTTCCTGGGCTGCATAAGCCTGAATGTTAAAAATAAGTTTATCAGCAACTTTAAAAATCGGTAATTTAAAGAATGAAATAATGCTTCCTAACAGAAACTGTATTTCAGGCAATGAAAACAGGCCCTGTTGCTGAAAGTTCTACTTATAAGATTGCCAGCGAGTAGGAGTAACAGAATTTTAAAAACATTATTTTGAAAACCGTAATAAAATTATTAATTCTGTCAAGGATTATCAAGTGCACTAAAATTGTCCTATAAATTATTAATGAGAAATGGATATTTGTGTAATGCCAAAGAATGCCACACCTAACAGATTACATTTTAACCACAAGGGGGGAATACAACCAGACAATGGAGGAATCAGGCTGTAATTACTCTAATCCAATAATCGATTAAAACATTAATGGTAAGTTAACCATAGTAAGTGTCATCTGATAGAATAAAACAGGAGGTATTCTAACAAAACCAAATATTTGGGAGATCCTATTGTACGGGTATGCCTGAAAAGTTCTGCTTTACACTGTTGTCCTGGTGTAATTATTAACGGCAATCCTTCCTTTTCACTTTCAAAAATATTCTAATTTGGATGATAAATTATATGGAAGTCTCACTTATGAGGCATTATAGCCAAAATCTTCTAACTTGAATCCTTTACATTTTTTGGTCTATCCTTCCACTTTACAGGAAATACTGGTGATAAAAGAACAAGCTGAATGACACCATGAAAAAGCAACTAGACAAATACAGGAGGAGGGGAAATCTGGGTGCTTGAAATAGTTCAATATTATAAAAAGAAGAACTATCCTACTTTAAAATAGAGCAAACAGATGCAGTGCAAAGTCCTACTCTGGATACTGACCTGGCAAATTTAAAGACTTTTGGGGTCAATTTTGAATACAGTCTGCCCAGAAAAACCCCCACACATGTATGTTCAATTAATTTATGAGAAAGCAGACACGAATATACAATGAAGAAAAAAAGACAGTCCTTCAATCAATGGTGTGGGAAAAATTGGAGAGCCACATGCACAGGAGTGAAACTGGATCACTTTGTTACGCCATACACAAAAAATCATCTCAAAATAGATCAAAGATTAGAAATTAAGTCCTAAAACCATAAAACTCCTAGAAGAAATCACAGGCAGCAAGGTCCTTGACATTGATCTTGGCGATGATTTTTTGGGTCTGACACCAATAGCAAAGGCAACAAAACAAAAATAAACAAGTAGAACTCTATCAAACGATAAAGCTTGTGGACAGCAAAGGAAACCATCAACAAAACAAGAGGACAGCCTACCAAATGGGAGAAAATATTTACAAATCGTTTTTCTGATAAGGGGTTAATACCCAAAATACATCAAAAACCTCATACAACTCAATAGTTTAAAAAAAATCCAATTAAAAAACAGGCAGAGAATTGAATAGATATTTTTCCAAAGAAGACATACAAGTGACTAACAGGTACATAAAAAGGTACTCAACATCATTAATCACCAGGGAAATGAACATCAAACCACAGTGAGATATTACCTCACACCAGTTAGAACAACTATTGCCAAAACAATAACAAATAGTAGTGTTGGCCAGGATGTATGTATTGACGGTGGGAGTGTAAATTGGTGCAGCTGCTATGAAAACAGTATGGAGATTCTTCAAAAAAATAAAAAATAGAATGAGCATATAATCCAGCAATTCTACTCCTGGGCACTTACACAAAGGAAACAAAAACTCTAACCTGAAAAGATATACATATCCCCATTTGCACTGCAGCATTTTTACAATAGTCAAGATATGAAAGCAACCTGAGTATCCACTGATGAATAAATGGAAAAAGAAAATGTGGTGTGTGTGTATAAATATACCTACATACATACTGGAATATTATTCAGCCATAAAAAGGAAATCCTCCCACTTGTAATATCATGGACAGACCCTGAGAACATTAAGCCAAGTGAAATAAGTCAGAGAAAGACAAATATTTATGCTTTCACCTATACGTATAATGTAAAAACAAACAAAATAACTGAGCTTATGGATACAGAGAACAGACTGTATCCATTTATTTCTGGGCAGACTATATTCAAAATTGACCTAAAAAGTCTTCTATAGCTAATTTGCAAAGCCAATATCCAAAGTAGGATTTTGCACTGCATCTGTCTGCTCTTATTTTAAAGTAGGATAGTTCTCCTTTTTATGATACTGAATTATTGCAAACACCCAGATTTTCCCTCCTCCTGTATTTGTCTAGTTGCTTTTCATGGTGTCATTCAACTTGTTCTTTTATCATTAGTATTTCCTGGTTACCAAAAGCAAGGATGGGCAAAATACAACAAAAGGGTTAATGAGTACAAATTCCCAGCTATAAAATAAATCATGAGATGTAATGTACAACATGACAACTGTAGTTAGTAACACTGTATCAGGTATTTGAAAGCAGCTAAGAGAAATTAAAAGTTTTCATCTTAAGGAAAAAGAATTTGTAGCTATATACAGTGACTTACTGTGGTGATCATTCACAATGTATACAAGAACTATGTTGTACACCTGAAACTAGTATGTCAATTATGTCAAAATTTTGAATATAGTCTAATAATAGATGAGATGAAAACTGACTAAAATGAAATAATGTATAGAGTATGACCTCACTGTGAACACATAAATGTGTATGATACACACACACAAACAGGAAAAGATCCTGAAATAATATACACTGAGTTGTGGCAATATTGATCCTAATCTGTGGGAATGTGATTCCTTATGTGAATTTTCTAATCTCCGTAAGTCATAGGATTTGCCCTGTCATGTGTTATTCTTAAATTTATGTGTCTCTGAAATTCTAATAAAGTAGTGTAACAGGTAGGTTAACAGATTTCTTTTCCTTTTGTACAGTTATAAGTACATATATAAACAATTCTCAATATATGAAAAACTTCCCTATGAAATTTAAACTGCTACAAAACAAATATAATAAAAGGAACCATATTCATTTTATTGTAGAAAAATCATAATTTAAGAAGTAATGTTAAAGTCTGAATTAAGCTCTCATTATCTTATATTCGCGACCCCTCCAACTAAAGCCTTAGTTTTCACTTGTGTGTTATTTCAGACAATAGTGGTTTCATTTGCTTAAGAACTCATGTTAGAAATTTCAGTATCATCCTTATTACATCCCTGTAATTTAACTTTATACCTAAACATCTGGTTGCCATGTCCTTTTGAATCCACCACAAAATGTCTCTCCCAATTCTTGTTCTTTATTCTCACTGCCATAGCCTTAGTCTGTGTCTTTAGCTCTAAAGTAATCCTACCCACTATCTCAATTCATCCTTCACACTAATCGTTATTTTTCTAAAACTGTACCTGATCATGTTACAGACAATCCTGTTTTAAAATCTTCAGAACTCATCGTCTACAGATACTCTTCATCATCTTGCCTTAGCAGGGCATTTATAAATGCCCTTCCCAACTTAATTTCCTCTCTACCTTTCAAGACACATTTCCCAAAATTTCTGAACTGCTTGCTCACTGACTATCCTCAAATCTGTCACGTACTTTCATACTTCCTATACTCATTCATTTCCCTCTGTCTGGAGTGTCTTCCTTTTCAGTCTCTAACCATTCACAATCTTTTCTACCCCAAAGGTGAATTTATTATTCAAGATCCAGCTTAAACTTGCAATTTTTTCCCTAACATCTGCCTCATTTACCTCTCCTGTCCTCCCAAAGTACTTAGCTTACATCAACAGATTAATATTTACCACAATACACACAGGAATCTTCCTCCTCTAAATTATTACAGTTATCCTATATTCATCTCCATAAATTCAGCATATTGCTGAGTACAAAACAGGTATTCAATAAATGATAGTGAATGAACAGATAAATGATTACTTTTTGTTGCCACTCATTAGCTTCCTCTTCCTTTTTCCTCTTGGCTACTTCTAGAAGTGTAATCCTGGCAGTGAATTCAGCAAGTTCTGCTGCCTAAAATAAACAATAAAATTACCAAAGCTAAAAAAAAAAAAAAATGTCCATTAATTTATACTAAGTCAACAAGGCTTTCGTATATATGCTTGGGCTGTTTTATGTTTTTTTAGATAGTCCTCCATTTTTTAAGAAGGTAATATTTCTTTAAAATCATAAATGTCTTATTTACAGTAGGTGTAATGAGCTAGTAAGAAAAAGTGAAAGAATTTTTATTTTTCTACAGACAAGAACTTATGCATGTTCCAGTAAAAGGAACTTAAAATGTGACTTATTTTTTAACTTTTTTTCAATAAAGTATTTGCAAAAGCCTACAAAAGAAGAACTGTATTTATATAATGCTTCATAGTTTAAAGAGCACTTTGTCAAATAATCTCATGATTTCCCAATAATCCTACTAGACGGCATGGTTGCTTTTCTTAAAAAGAGGGATCTGAGGCTCAGAAAGACCCAAAGACAAGTAAATGCAGGAACCATCTTTTAAGTGTCATGCCTAATCCTTATTATTTGCAAGCTCACTAAACAAACAAAAACTCAATCACATATGGCCTAAGATAGCTTAAAGGAGTTACAATTGTTGTCAATTTATCTAAAACAAAACATGCCGGTTGTTTATGTAAAGTTTAAGTGAATCAGAATCTTTTGTTAGCATTAGGCTTCATTTATCTTTTACTCTGTTTCACTTTTAAGTTTATTTCCATACTTTGTGATTAAGTTACTTGTATCTTTGCTTTCCTTTCCCAAAGACATAATAATGTACTTAGTTTAACAAGGTTAACTCCATGCTTTTGTGTAAATTTTTTTTCTTCTCAAGGTAGAACGAAGGTTCCTTACTAGCTGTTCCTGATTCTTCATCTGGTCAGCAGCTTGTTTTGCAATAGCTGACTTGGCCTCTTCAGCAGCTCGACGCTCCTTTTCAAGCCTTTCTGCTTCTTCTTTTGCTCGTTTTCGTTCCTGATCCAATTCCAGAGCTTTTCGAGTCTGTTCTTCCAGTTCTGTCAAAAACATGTATGCCCCCCACCAAAATAATTAATTCCAGTTTTAACAGTTATCAAAAGAAGCCAAAATAGTAGCAAGGAATCTAATCTGTATAGTTTCTAAAAATTAGAACATCTACAAATGAACTTATACCTCTTTTAAAATTAATCCTCATCCAAGGATATGTTTATTTTAGGGAGAGAAAAGGAGGGGTGGGGATGGGAGAGAGACAGACAGACAAACAGACACGTGAGAGAGAAATGAGGATCGATTTCCTCCTGTATGTGCTCCACCTAGGGAATCAAACCCACAACCTAGGTATGAACCTAGGAATGACCTGGAATCGAACCCACAACCTTTTGTTTTTGTTTTTTAAAGTTATTTATTTATTTACTTACTTACTTACTTACTTATTTATTTATTTTTAGAGAGGGAAAGCAAGAGAGAGGGAAACATCAATGCGTGGTTGCACCTCGCGCCCCCTGCTGGGGACCTGGCCTGCAACCTAAGCATGTGCTCCTACACTGGGAACTGACGACCCTTTGGCTCACAGGCCGGTGTTCAATCCACTGAGCCACACCAGCTAGGGTGAACCTGCAACCGTTTGCTGCAAGGGATGATGCTCCAACCAACCTAACCATCTGGTCAGGACATACACCTCATTTTTAACTTAGCAAAAACCTTATAAATTTTAAAAAATCTATTCCGCTATTTAAAAATGCCAAGAAATTAAAATCCGCATAGCTGTTTTTTAAAAAATAATCTCTTCAACAATTTTTTTAAAAGTTTTTAATTAATTTATTGGGGTGACATTGGTTAATAAAATTCCATAGGTTTCAAGTGTACCATTCTACATCACCAGTTATTTATTGTAAATATTGTGTACTCACCACCCCAAGTCCTGTCTCCTTCCGTCACCATTTACTTCTGTCACCATTTACCCCTCTATGCCCTCTTCCCAGTAGAGTGGAACAGAGGTGGGGCAGAATGCAGAGCCTGAGGCCTGCACTGTTCTACAGGATGAGGACAGGGATTTAGACTTTGGGGCTGTCAAGGCAGTCGAGGCTGGAAATGCCAAGATCCTGAGGAGGAGTGAATAGTCAAGTAAGCCCCAAGTCTGCTTGCTACTTCCCCTCAAGATTTGCCAACTCCTAAAATGTACACATACAGGGTCAGACACTAGTAAATAAGGAAGAAGCCACTGGAAGAGGCTGAATGGCTAAGCAGACAGTCATTTCTGCAACTGGGGAGTCAAAGGCTGGAGCTCAGGGCCCTCTGACACAGAAAGGCCCTCATCAATACAGTCTTTCAGATGACACATTCAAAGGGCTACAGACGAGCAGAGAAGGAAAACCAGAGAGAGACCAACTAAAAGCCTGAGACCCAGTTCAGCTCCATCAAGATGATCTGTACATATTCTGCCAGTCCAAAGAAAATTAAATCCTCTCTAAAGGAAAATAACATCACCCAGAGTCTCTACAACTTTGCATACACAATGTTTGGCATTTAACCAAAATTACCAGGAGATGGGACCAAATAACCCCCTCTAACCACCTACACCCCAAAATAGACTATAGACTAGACCCAGAGATTATCCAGTATTACAATGGATTATAGTGAAGTTATCAAATTAGGATATTAAAATAATTATGATGACTACTTATCTAGAACAGCTGGGAAATAAGCAGATCATGAGGAGAAAAGCAAAATCCACAGAAACCGATCTTCAGGCATCTTACAAATCCTCAGCAAAGTACCCGAGCGCCAAAGTTTCCTTTATAATTATGAAAGTTCAACCTATATCAATCTTTACCTTCATTTTACCTCTAATATTTAGGTCCACAACTCATCCAAAGCCCCTCCATAGAGAAACATCTACTAAAAAAATCAGTAGGCCTTTGACAGAGACCCAGATACACTACTAATTTTATTTTAGCAAAACCATGGGCCACTGGAATCATGCACTGAACCCCTCCCTGCAAAAAAAGAGATAAAACATTTATAACCACCAAATAATCCGTAAAACTGCAAATGTAAAGAGCATGGGAACTCCTCCTGTGACGGATGAGGAAAGATTAAGGACATAACACCTGAAAAGGCCAGACTTGGAAGGTAGGGGGACCCAATAAAAAAGGTACATTCAGAAACTGTTATGACATCTTCAGCCCATAGAAATTTGCAGAGAAGACACTCCAACAACTGACCTTCCTCTCTTGGACTTCCCATCTCCAGAATTTACTCTTCAGAAGCTCTCTATTCAGAAAAGGATTACAAATAAATAGAATGGGAAGCTATGGAAAATGAGAGGAAAAGTATCATTAATGCAACAAACAAAGAGAGAAAACTGCCAGCCCAGAATGACCAAGGAAACACATTACCTGCAATACAACAGAAGAGGATACATGCTGCAAAATACACAGAATATCTGAATTGCTGACTCAAACCAAGGAGTCCAGTATCGGCAGATATTAAACTCTTCTGCAGAATTAGCTTGTCCTGTTATAAACTAAATGGCCCCCTATAGTACCTTTTTCAAGTAATTATTTTCCTTTTCTCAACTTCAGGCTTATAATTTTTAAAAGTATGCAATGTGCAACAATAATTAATGCCATAGAGGCTACCGTTAAATCAAAGAAATATATAAGCCCAAGTGTTATCTTGTTTTTCACAATCACTGTGTACTTACTGCATGTATTTTGTTGTATACCTATTAATCATTTATGAGATGTCAGTTACCAATCTTTCTAGCTACAACTGGTAATTGAACAGTGTGGCATTGGCAACAGGATAAACAGGTTAATGAACAAAACAGAATCTAGAAACAGACCCATACATACACAGTCTTCTGATTTTGTGACAAATGTGACACTGTAGTACAATGGGACAAGGATGGTCTTTTCAATAAATAGGTCTGGGTCAGCTGGAAACACATATTGGGAAAAAACCTTGACCCTTACAAAAATCAGTTCCATATATAGATTGTGGATGTAAATGTGAAAGGCAAAACAAAGCTTTCAGAAGGTAGTTCATAATAACGTATTCACAACCATAATGAAAAGAGTTTTATAAATGGAACTTAAAATTTAAAACTCTTCATAAAGACACCTTTAAGAAAGTAAAAAGGTAAACAAACCATAGAAGATATTTTACAATGCATGTAACGAAGATATTTTTTCAGATCAATCTGAAAAAGCAGAAAATCCAATTTTTCTTAAATAGGCAAATGTTGTGAAAGGACATTTTGTATACAGTTAAAAGCATTTGCAAAGGTGCTCAAAATCATCAGTCATCAAGACAATGTACAGTACTCACTGTGCTCACTAGAATGACTGAACAAAACAAAAAAAGAAATTCTGATCAAGTAGTGAAACTGATGGTGAAAATACAGAGCACATGAACTTTCATTCACTACTGGTAGGAATGAAAACTAATACAATCACTTTGCAATAATGGTGGCAGTATCTGCTTTAACTAAGTATAGCTGTTATCCAGGAATTCCACTCCCAGGGTACAGCTCCCCAAAATTAATACATGTGTGCTCTGTTCAAGAATGCTCATGGCCATCTTATTTTATAAAAGTCCCAAACTGAAAATATCCCTAACGACCACCACCAGTAGAATTTATAATGGTATATACGTGCGATCAAGTATTTCAGAACAACATAAAAGAATAAACTATAGCTACGTGCATACATTCAAGACAAAAAAAATTTAAAAGCCAAATATAAGAGTGCATGAATTCACTTATATGTAGTGTAAAAACATGCGAGACTATTCTTAGGCACAACATCAAAAACACAAGCAACAAAACAGGAAATACGTTGGACTTCATCCAAATTTAAAACCACTGAGCTTCAAAGAACACCATCAACAAAGTAAAAAGACAACCCTCGGAATGAGAGAAAATATTTGGAAATCATATATATCTGATAACTGACTAAGGACTTGTATCCAGATATAGAAAACATTCTTACACCTCAATGACAAAAAGACAAATGATACAGCTGAAAAGTGGGCATGCCATTTGAAAATACGTTTTCCCAAAGAAGATACATAAATGGCCAGTAAGCACATGGAAAGACGCTCAACACGAATAAGCATTAGGAAAATGAAAATGAAAACCACTTCATACCCATTAGAATGACTATAATCCAAAAAACAGACATTAATAAGTGTTGGTGAGGATGTGCAGAAATCATATATTGCAGGTGGGAATGTAAAATGGTACAACAGCATTAGAAACCAGTTTGGAAGTTCCTCAAAAAGTTACATATAGAGAGTTACCATATGACCAGCAATTCCACAACCAAGTTTATACCCAAAAGAAATTAACACATATGAAAACACAATAATTAGTACACAGATGTTCATATCCTCATATTCACAATAGCCAAATAGTGGAAACAACCCAAATATCCAACAACTGATGAATAAGTAATGTAGTATTATCCACACAATGAAATATTACTCAGCAACAAAAAGAAAGGACTGCTTGATGCACCCTACAACATGGATGAAATTTGCAAACATTATGCTCAATGAAAGACAGTGACAAGTCACAAAAGACCACATTTTGCATGCTTCCATTAATATGAAATGTCCAGAACAGGTGAGTCTACAGAAATAAAAAGTTGCCTAGAGCTGGGGAAGAGAAGATTGGGAAGTAATGGGCATGACTTCTAACAGATGTGGAATTTCTTTTTGGGGTCATAAAATTGTTCCGAAATTGTGCTGATGGTTACACAACTCAAAGAATACACTAAAAACCATTCAATTGTACATTTTAAATGGTTGTGTGGTATGTGAATTATATCTCAACAAAGCTACTATAAATAAATAAGATTAAACTCTATGATGATATAAATCAGAATGATATGCCACATCTGGAGTGAAAAAAATTACTGAGGAGGGACACATGGAAGGATCCCTGAGTGCAGGTAATGTTCGGTTATCTTGTTCTTGGTAGTTACAAAAATAAATCTGGTTTGTAAAAATTCACAAAGCCTTATACCTAAGAGGTATGCTACATTACTACATCTATGCTATACTTCAACAAAAAAAATTTCTAAAATAAGTTTCAGAAAATCACAGAAAACTAAGTTAGGGATTTTATACTTCCATTTTAGAAATTAGGAACATTAGAAAATCAAGAGGTTAAAATAACTTGCCTATGGTCATATTCTAAGTTAATGACAGAATTAAAGCTTAGCTGTTATTTGTAAACAATGTAAACTGAAAGTGGACAAACCCTGCCTACTCACATCAACTACTACTTTTATCACATCAACATGCTTACTTTCTTCACTGCACTTAAAACTATATAAAATGACTTGTATTATCTGTTAAAGAACAGAGCATAGTACACAATGCCTAACAAGTATCCAGAATGCAATCACTACACCCCCAATTCTTTCCAGTGGTTTTTCTTTTTGAATGTGGAAATTCACTTCGTTATTTGTTGAAACAGTAACTGAATGCAAGTCTGGCTGTATTCAAATACAGTCATCAATTTAACTTAAGGATGGTTAAAAAATGATAAAGGGAGATAATTAACACTGATAATTACAGAAATGTAAAATGGAAGAATGGTTTTATTAAATGATTTGTGACTCACTTCAAATAATAACTACTTCAAAAAAATTTTTAAATAAAATTATAATAACATCGGAAAGTTTCTTCTCAAAAAAATTACAGGTTTATCTACTAAGTATCATGACTTAGGTATGGCCAGAGCTACTGCATCTGAATAAGAATTTAGCATAATTTACAAGACAATCATACAGATTTTAGGACAGCTTGGAAAAGCTTTATTACTAGGAAAAAAATTGAATGTCCTTTTCCTTAAGATGATTGATTTAAAATTGTCTTGATAGGGATGCTCTATATTCTTTTTTATGTTCTAACTTCCTTATATTCTTTAGTTCTTCTTTACTTGAGTAGCTTTCTGTATGTAAATTATGTTTAGTATACATCCTAAATAAATGAGATTAAAAGGTTTAGTAAGTAGCTATTCTCTCAGAAATGGTATTATATAAATGAAAAAGTCCTGTCATTCAATTTCTTCTTTAAAATCAGTCCAGTATCATAAACTTTTTTTAAAAAACCACTTTAGTACATTCCAGAGTTTGTTTAACAGCATTCTACCTCTAAAACTACTCCTTATACTATTTACATGGCACTTAGTACACATTACCTCACTTCATTAATATTTCTGCCACAACAGACTTCACTACCAGCATGCTATATGTTTGTATTCATAAAATGCAGCACAAAATAGGCACTTCGTGAATGTCCACTTTAATCAATTAAAAAGGCATCAACATCAAGCTGGAATTCAGAAAATAAGTTCTGCCCTCGTGTTACGGCCTGTGAACAAGTCTCTTTGCTACATCTGGGCTTTGAACTAAATAGTTTCTAGGTCTTTTCTAGCTTTGAGAAGTGAGGTTTCTAAATTAGTCAGAATAAAACCCAGGGGTTTTTTTTTTTGTTTCTTCCCTTAGAAATTATTATTTCCAATCCTCTTGTAATTAAAATGATCAGTCAGTTTGTGGACTTACAGCAATCTTTGTGACTTCCTCCCCTAGATACTCAATTGCAAATGACTCTACCAGCTGCTCCAGAGCAGCTCCCCACTGAAGTAGGCTGGTGTTAGGAATGAAAATAAACCTGTATGAGGTTATTATTTAATAACCCTTACATAGAATAAATAATAACCTTATTCCATTTCTAACAGAACTAACGGCTGATTCTACTAGTTGTCAGGAAAGCAGGTATAAATTCTAGTTTTATAAATAGATTTCATGTGAGCCCCAAGAAACTACTGCTTAGGAAGGAGGCAAACATCTTATTTTGTTCAATACCTTCTTCCTTTTGTTCTCCCACTATTTGTTGTTTGAAAGTAATATATCCTAGAATTATTTGATATAAAGCACTCTCTCCAAATCTAATGTACCCTTTCTATACACTGTAGCATTTTGGTTACACATTGCTTAGGAAGTAGATTCTTCACAACATTCTCTATGTTGTGTAGTTTTTAATATACTGAAATCAAATTTAGAGATTGAATCCAAAGCAGTCTGTATAGTCAGAATAGATTAAAAGAGCCTTAAGGTACTTAAATATCCATAAAGCACTGCATACATGCTTTTGTTTACATGCCAGAAAGTATTGAAAATGTGCTTTTGTTTATGGAACCCCAATCAAGAAAAATAAATTAATATACATAGTCATTTACAATATAGAATAAGAGTACACATGAAAACACTTGTTTAAGTAACTAAAGAAAGAGAAAAAACACATAAGCATTGCATACTGAATTACATCGTAAACATGTTTACGATGTAATTCCACCAAGTTTAATTTGGCAATTAAATGTAATTATTCTCTGCAAGACACATAAGTTTTAATAGTAGTAAGGAAATACTACTATCTGACCACAAAGCAATGATTTTTGTCTTTCATTTTTCTAATTTAATCTTTTCCAGTAGTTTTTTGCTTTTATTTTATTATTTTTTCATCTTTATAGTATTTTTATTGTATTTTTTTTCCATTGCCATTTAGTCCCCTTATACCCTTCCCCTCCAGCAATCACCACACTGTTGTTCATGTCTAAGAGTCCTTTTTCCTTTTTGCAGAGCAATGGTTTTGAATCCAATGTCAAAAAGAAACTTTTACCTTTCTGGGCTTTCAGTGTCTGTTCTTCAATTTGCCTTAGACGTTCCATTAGCTCTTCCTTTTCCCGTTCTATTCTTTCCTTTTCCTTTTCTGCTATTTCTCTTTTCTTCTTTTCATTCTCTAACTGCGCCCTTAAAAAGAGTTACAATTGTTTTGTGACAAATTAATAACTAGAAAAATCCACTATGAAGAAACTACAGCATAAATATTGTATCTTCATTATAATCATCTGTGTTAAAAAATCACATAGTTAAAAATATAGAAGTACACTGTTACATACACATATATTGGATTATAACATGTTTCTTATTGTGGGGTCACAATAAATATAGTTAAATCACTATTTTAATAATATTAAAATGTTAGCCCTTTTAGAAAGGGTCTCAGACAAATTCTCAAAACTGTTAGGAGAGTGAAACTGTCAAATATCTCTCTTGTTAGCAAAGCATATTTTAAAATACAGATATGTGGGGGGGAAAAACGTTGATTTATCACTTGCATACTCAATGATCTTTGACAATAAATTAGAGGTCAGCACAAAAGGTGTTAATTGCATAGTTGCCATACCCAAGAAAATGACTTTAGGTTATTAGGAGCTTGAAGGGAGCACACAAGACTGTTTTAAAATATCCTGGGAAGGCAACAATTTGCAATAATTAGCAATAAATGAATGTAAGTTTAATTTCTAAGGTAGGACCAATTTATCCTTAGCTACAACATGACAAATCAGTTATATTTCCTTTGACAATTCTATTAGCATGAAAGTAGGTATCTATTTAATGCTGTTTAAAAAGATCACCATGAAACCTAGGTGGAAAGACTGCCTCCATCATTTAGCTGCATCTGGCATGGGCCTACTGAAACTGTTTCTTTTAAATATGGCCAAATTCATCCACTGAGCATGAGCCTACCCTGGGTCTGACTCTATGATGAAGGCCAGAAATATAAAGATAAAAAAGAATTAGATGTGACACTATGTTAATCATCAGAAATAATACCTACTTAATAAGTTTAATCAACAATACTGCCATCACTTTAATGGGAATAATTTTTTTTAGGTAAAAAATGGATTACGTTCTCATTTCTGAAACTTATCTGAGTATGTTTAAATACTCGCAAAAAAGACATCACTGCCATCTAGTGTTAATTCTAAATGCCAGGCACAAAGTCACATGGTTTCTCAACCTCCAGGCTCTGATAAATTCTTCAGTAAAGTTTCACTGAAGTTACTTTCCTTACTCTGTAAACCCCAAATTTAAAAATTCCTATAACTCCTGGATACCTATCTGTCCCCAATACAGAAAGAGAATCTAGCTTGGGGTAAACAGAATTGTGACGAGTCAGCATGTAAGAAAGCTATCTGATGTTAATCTCCTATGCACCAAACCAAACATGAAGTTTAGGAGTCATTATACCTCCCCAATTAGTTAATGAATCCTCACGGCATTTAAGATTCTAGGGCCTGAAGCTGATTCATTCGAGGAGAATTCACCTATGTTCAAGTTCCCTATGAGGCACTTTTTCAACAGCAAAAGGAAGAGTCAGCCACTAACCTCCCCCCACCCACCGCCAGACTTGGCCTCACTCTGCAGCACATTCACCTCTTTCTTCCTATCCTATTTTGATCTACAGAGTATACACAAGTATGTGCAGGCAAAGAGGTTTAAGGACTTGTGAGACCCCCCTCTCTAGAAGATATGAGTGTGACAGAGGCTTAAGTGAGTATGTTTCCCAATTTCCTTGAGCAAAAGAAGGGCCTGGTGGCCCCACAGAGGTTGCTGCCTTTTCTGTATTCTTTAGGAAGTTGAAAATGCAGGCTGTCCCTGAAAGCAAAAGCACAGTACTTTTCAAGTAATTGCTAGTATGGCCAAGGGCTACTCTTTTTCATGTTAGGCTGCTAGCAGTCTCAGCATGTTGATTAGTCACCCCAGCCTCTGCTCAATCACATCCAGTGCTGCCAAGGTTCCCTAAGACAGTTACTTTCCTGCCTCCCTCTGAGGCCGAGACTCACACCACAAACCAGATCACAAGACCTAAAGGCTACAACAATATTCCATGAACTCAGAACCTGTCGGGTCCAGCTCTGGCACACATATGGCCCGTTCTAGAGATGGGTGCTGATTTCACTTAGTTTTTCCCTATTGACAATTCATTTGTTCTTTCTCAAGGATGGAGGTAAGGAGATATAGGAACAAAAAAAGACTGAAGGTAACTTGGCCACAAGCAAGTTGGTGGGTAGGAGCAGGGAATTAGCCCTTTGTATCAAAAAATGGAATAAGTGAACAGCAGATACTTAATTGATTATAATATTTAAAACAATATACACAGTTGACTGCTGCACTCTCATGAAGCCTCTGTCTCATATCTTGTAAGAATTCTCCCCTGACTACAGCCATCACCAACTAACACGCCATTCAATTAAAACAAACGCCTTTGGCTCACCACATCCCTTAGTTAAACCTAGTTTTGCAGGTCTGTCTGATTTCCCTCATGAAACTGAAGAGCTTGCTTCTCCCCTAAACAATGTTCAATCACAAGGACTAACCTGGTCTATTCGCTGGCCCCGAGGCAAGCCATGGATATTCTCACCTCTACATGTTTGCTTACGTCAGCTTCCTCTTCTGAAAATCTTACCCCTCTATAACTCTCAAGCCTATTTTTAACTTTAAAGCTTTAGTAAAGTCCACTTTCCCCATTAAGCCTCTTGTGTAATGATGTAAATCTAAACCACAGATGTAAATATTTTTGTTTAGAGTTTGGGCTTGGAAATGCTCATTTGATCAAGTTGTTCTATTTCAAGAATACAAATAACCTATTAATAAGCTATCAATTCTCTGTATTAACATGCAAAACACAAAATACTTTAAAATAACTTACACTCTAAAGACTATCATATGGGCCCAATTACATTTTTCTTAAGATAGAAAACTAGTATGAAACTTCTATTCAGACTATGTATTAAGAATTATTATAATAGCTAATATTTATTAAATATTTGCGTACTTCTGTCATTATTTCTCAAAAAAACCCTTAGAGGTAGAGGTTTTCATATTAAGGGTAAGAGAATAGTGGCTCAGCAGGTTTTTTTCCAACAAGTGTTAGAAGAGGATTGAAACCCAGATTTATCTAGTTCCAAAGGCTGTATTCTTTGTATGACCCCAACTGTGTCCTACTGATACAGGCAGCCAGCCATGACACAAAATATCTCATAGCTAACCTACAATTGGTGCATGAGCATCTGATTTTGAATTGGAAACTTGAGGCTGTTTTTAAATTTGGTAACAATTTTAGCAATACAAAAAATGTTCAGAATTACAGAATAAATCATCATCAATTTGGATGCAAATAACTTCAGAGCACAGACTACAGAGATCCATAACCCATGGTACTGGGTTATATATAACTAATATATAGCACCATTTTCATTGTGAAAAACCCAGTTATGAGAGTTATGGGGAAAGAGCAGGATCACATATACCAAAGTATTACAGGGAAAGGGGCTTCCTTCCTGCCCCTTCCCAACTGCTGTTGTTGCTCAAGAGAGCCCAGCAGCACAGGCAGCATACCTCTGAGCATTCCCCCAAGTATGTCTGCTGGCTACTTTGCCAATGGGCTTGACCAAAACTGTTTCCACATATACAGTTGTCATTTCTCTCTCTCTGACCTGTAAAGCAGGGAATAAATGAAGACTTGGCATGCCATTTCTGACACTTGCCAAATCCCTATGTTGCTAACATAAAATACCTTCTAGGCATTCAAATGAATAAAACAGTTACTGAATTCCTATAGTGGACAATGCTTGCTAATGAACAGCTATAAAATTTATCCAACATAGGAACCATAGGATTCTTACTGCGGCAAAAAAAAAAAAAAAACAAACAAAAAACAACTTTAAAGTCTTTCATTTTCCTCTAGGCCTGACAGTAAGAAAGCTATAACACCATCACCACATTGTACTTATTAATGATACTACATATTCTAAAAGCCATATAGCATGCCTCTCTATGCCTGAGAAATAAAGAAGAAGTAGACAAATATGTTTAAGAATATAAGTAACAAATCAACATTGTAGACAAGCAGAACAGTTAGGACATTACTGAATGATGAGTATGCGATAATACAGCCAGATCTCTGTATCTCTCTGCGGGTTCCTCATGTGGGGATTTAACCAACTGTGAATTAAAAATACTTGAAAAAAGTTATGTTGTTGCTTATGTGCACTATGTAGTTAGGCCTATAACTGTACTGAAAATTTAGAGACTTCTTTTTTTGTCATTGTTCTTTAAACAATACAGTATTACAACATTTATATAGTATTTACGTTGTATTAGGTGTTATAAGTAATCAAGAGATGATTTAAAATATACAGGAGGATATACACAGGTCATATGCAATACTATACAATTTTATATACAGGGCTTGGGTATTTGTGTGGGTCCTAGAGCAATCCCCTACAAAGGATGACTGTAATTTCTGAATATATAGAAAGTAAAGCCCAATAAAGAACTATTTTAAAAAGCATATAACTCTAGAAGCACAATGTGATCCTAAGCCACATGAGAGCAGTAAAAAAAATGACAGAGCCCAGTCAAAGTAACTAACCAACTTAGTATCTTTAATGGAGGGTCAGGAGTTACTGGAAAGTTTCATATCTCTATAAAACATGTTTTGTAATACAGTAAACTTTCCTAAGGCAGATAAATTGAGGGAAGAATCTGAATTAAAGATGTGAATTATAAAGAACATTTAAGTAAAAAAAAAAAAATTCATTAAAAACACACTAAAAGCAGAGGCAGCAAAATTATATTTAGCAGAGGGCCTATTTATTAAATTCAAATTACGTAATTTCCAATGTTTGAAATATATAAATTTACATATATTTAGGGCTCCTGACTATTGTTTTCTTTAGGAGCTACTCTATTTCTTAAATTATTATTCTACTCTACAAAGGTTTCTTCAATAAAGGTTAACTTCAGTTTGGTGTGTAAATTTTTTCAAATAAAGCACAAAGATTAAATCAATCTAGAGTCAGATTTGGGGATTTTGTTGCCAGACGCACCAATCTGGTTCCAGGGCTGACAAGAATTTTAATCAATCTTTCCATTTCAAAAACACTCAATTTTATACAGTTAGCAGTATCTTTTTTTGAAAGTCCAAGTGAACAATGGTTAAAAAGATCAGCATTGTTGACAAGGGAGAACTGGTGTTACTACACTCTGTACACTGACTTTTTGAATTCTACACTGCCCATGACACTGTTTCAAAGAAAAACATTCAGCATATTTTTACCCGAAGTCACAAGCAAAACAAACCTGAAAATTTTACACTATATCCAAACCAATGTCCGTCAGTGACAAGCAAGAATAAAAGAAAAGCACACCTGTGAAATCATGAAAAGCTATTTACTCAAAAATATCTGCTAGATATCTAACTTGAAAATTATACATACTCATTTTAAAGTGGACAGTAATACTGTGATTCAATTTTAATACAATGAAAAGAGTGTAAAATTCTGAGTGTGTTAAAGAAACTAAGCATTGTTAAATTTTATTTTTATTTATGTATTTATTTTTATCCTCACCTGAGGACATGCTTATTGATTTTAGAGAGAGAAAGAAACATCAACATAAGAAACATCAATCGGTTGCCCCTCACATGCACCCCAAATGGAGATCAAACTCGCAACCTAGGCATGTGCCTTAAGTGGGACTTGAACCCGCAACCTTTTTGTTTACAAGATAACACACCAACCAACTGACCCCACTGGGAAGGGTTATCACTCTTAAATTTTAAATAGCCGCCTTCTACCAATCTACTAGGATGAAAGGCTATAAATTCCATACCTTTCCAACTGCTTCTGATGTTTCTCCTCTCTAGCCTGAGCCTTCATCTGTTGTACTTCAATAGTATCGGGCTTCCTTCTTCGCATGTACAGTTCATGGTTTCCCATACACAAAGCCAAAATCCGCTTATTGATTCTCAGACGAGGTGCATAAAAAACAAAATCCTAAACAAAGTATTCTGAATTTAAAATCTTCCTGAAGGACAGTCTTTCTCACAATAATGTGTACTAAGTTTCAACGTGTGGTTATGAATTCTAATGTCACATTACATACAGTTTAGAAATCATAAGATTTCCTAATTCCTAGTGAGTATACCATACTTTCACACAACTGGTTCCTCATCTTTTCATTCCCCACCAGTTTTGTGGAGAGGCTAATAATCTTATATTCTCAATATATTAAATGTCATTTATTATTTTTTTCTTCTCCAAAGTAACAATTAGCATCTGTTCTTCCACCTCAGGACGGTTTTTTTGTTTGCTTTACCTTTTGCCATATTTATCTCAAAATTGGATGTTCAACTTTTTTAACCTAGAATTGTTCTCCTTATCATTCTGTCTTTTCAATAACTATTTTAGAACACAACAGTATGCTTGACACTAGATGAATCAAAGAATCTATAAATATAAAGATTTAAGTTTAACGCTTCAAGTTACAAAAATACAACATTCATGATGCAAACAAAACTCTACAAACAGGATTAATACAGAATAGGGCTCCCTTTGCTATATTCTAGACACCAACAAACAAGCTTTTTAAAATTGCTTCTTAGGAATGGTGATTATTTTCAATCACCTCCTAATATCTTATATTTAAATTTCAGTTAAAGTAAAATTCTAATATTTATATGTTGTAACAAGATGAAAACTGTATTTTTAACAATTATTATTTTATCATTAGGAAAGTTAAACTCTAGAAAAAGAATATTCCTCAAGACCAATTCAATAAATGAACAATGTCATTCTTCAAGTAATACCATAGCAAAGTGGCAGAAATTTAAAATACATAAAACATTTTTAAAATTTACTTACAGGTGCCTTTTTGTCAATTGGCTTTATAACAAATTTTTTGTCATTAAATGAAATATTTCTGATTTCACTCCAGGGAAAACCAATTTTTGGAGTTAACCTTAAAAAAAAGTGAGGGGGGAGAGCATATCTGTAGTGAGAAGCATGAAACAATGGACAAAATTTGTATCAACTTTTTGGGGCCAATTTAGTTCAATGATCAGTCTTAAGAGTTCCAGATTTTCAAAATGTATTAACTTACTCATAACATACTGTTGACATTATCTTTTAAGGGTGAATTTGAATAATTAAATCACATAAAACAGCCCTGGCTGGTATGGCTCAGTGGGCTGAGTGCCAGCCTGTGAAGCGAAAGATCACTGGTTCGATCCCTGATCAGGGCACATGCCTGGACTGTGAGCCAGGTTCCCAGTTGGGGGTGTGCAGGTCGATGTTCCTCTCCCTTTCTCCCTTCCTTCCCTCTATCCAAAAATAAATAAATAAACAATTTTAAAAATCACATAAAACAAAGACTATCCCAAAAATTTCATCAATGTGTCAGAAACCTTGATTTCCTTGTTAGGGTTTGCACACGCTCTATGTAGGTTCAAGCTACTACCACTATTAAGTTTAAATATGTTTAAGAAGGGGGGCAGAAGATAGCTTTTCTAACTTTTCATATGAATTATGAACCTAAGTTGCTATAAAATTATTTCCTTCCTGTTTAATTTTAAAATGTCTGAATTACTTACGAATATACTAAAAACACTAAATTTTCAGTGCACTTTAATAGGCTTTATGGTATATGACTTATATCTCCCACAAAAAAATTTTAAACACTCATATACACAACTGTTTGGGTAAACAGAACTGAAATTCTGACTCTGTGACTATAAAACTGTTGTCGCGATTTACTACCCCACACATAAAGATTTAGGGAATCAGACAGGAAGAAGTAATTTTATTTCTGATTGTCAAATATTTTATTGTTTCATCAAATGTGTCACTGCTATCCAACAAGAGCATGAATGACTGTGACACCTATACTGGCCAAAAGGCCTATTTAGTCAAAGCATTCTGGTAACAGAGTATGAACTGCTGCTACCTAATTACAGTCCTTTTAATTCTTAAGCAGACTGACTGCAGTGCATCAAATAATTTTCTCTACAAAAAACATTTTTTACTCAATATGCATGCTCCACACTGTCCCTTATAAAGGACACCAAGATATGTCACAGTTACCTACTTAAAAGAGAGGCTTATAATTTTTTTTTATTTTTATTTATTTATTTTTAGACAGAGGGGAAGGGAGGGAGAAAGAGAGGGCTAGAGAAATATCAATGCGTGGATGCACCTCACGCATCCCCTACTGGGGACCTGGCCTGCAACCCAGGCATGTGCCCTGACTGAATCAAACCGGTGACCCTTTGGTTCACAGGCCAGCGCTTAATCCACTGAGCCACACCAGACAAGGCCGGAAGACTTATAATATTTTTAAGGTAATATTATACTACATTTACATATTATTTTTAAAAATTCTAAAGAATTTCCTCATATAATTCTCACAACAACCTTCTGAGGTGAGTCTGGCAGTTATTCAAATTTCACAGTTAGTAAGTTGACCAGGGTCACAAAAGTAATTAATAGCACAGCTGGTAAAAGAGCCTAACTAACCTTTTAAAGTTGTACCCTATTTTGATTTTTTTTAATTTGGAAATAAGTTAATAGATGAATATATTCTCATTATAAAATGAAATTGAACCATTACAGAAAAGACCAAAGAACCTGTTTTCCATAATCCCCAATCCCTCCTTCCTATCCTGAGTAAACTCCCTTGCTCTCATATTCCCCATCTTTATCCGTATCAATATATATAATGAATACACTAAGAAAAACTAATTCAATAATTTTTAAAAGAAAAAAGATTTGGCCTATAATAGTCTTAATTTTTGCTTTTCAAATATTTTCCCTTCTGAATGATAATAGCATTTTAACTTGCTTTTGTAATATAAATGAAAAAATATATCAAAGTCAGTAAAATGCTCTCTTTTGGAATGATCATGTATGTATATGTTTAGAAATGTGTGTTTTATTAGATACCTGTAATAATGAAACTAAAAATTTGGAACCAATCCAGAATAAAGAGGAATGCCTTTAGAGAAGGTGCCACTGGTACAGACTTGGATGCTTACGTGGTATGATAAATAAATTAAGGAAAGGTATAAAACAGTAGTAGCTATCATACCTGAAAGGTGTTAAAAGAGCTTGATATACTTTATATTAATATAAAAATACCTGGTCAATTTCAAAATAAAATTACACTGTTCACTATTTTTAATACAGGAACAGTTTACTAACATCCAAAAATATTCAAAACAAGTCCTATAAAATATTCAACAAAAAAGTGTTACAAACACAGTAAATCACACATTTTAATTTCATTGTCTCATTGTTCCCAATTTCTTATATGTTAATTTCAATGTTATACCTGTATGCCAGGCGTAACATTTAAAGAATTATTTTTCACCTATTGAGGAAATAAATTTTAATTGTTACTAGATATAACTCACAAGAGATCAGGAAGCATACTTCAAATAAAAGTGAATCTACCCATTTGACAAATACACTGAGAAGTAAACCGAAACCACAAGATGTTGATAAAATGAAAACATGGTATTTGAAAACTTTTGTAGCATTAATTAATCTTTTAATTTGAAAAAAAGCAGTAAGGGTAATCAAGCCAACCGATTAATGACTAATATACTATTTACTTACTTGTCATCATGCTCATAAATATTCAGACCCAAAGCATCAACACCTAGCCACAATTCAGTTCCTTTTTTATTTTTTATTTCAAAGTAGTTGACTCCATACATTTCTAGATCTTGTGCAATCTTCAGGTATTCCATCATAGAATCTTCCCTGTTGAAATAAAGCTTACTATAACATATTTAAGAATATCTGATAATGAACAAACTACAAAAATACTTTGAATTAAAATTTAGTGTTTTATTCATATAAAGTCAAATGATCTTTGAGAGGTAATCTTATGTAATAATTAATATTATGAAATAAAAATACTTTAATTTGAAGAAAACAAGAGCCATCCAAATACCTTAGCATTCCTCTATGTTCTTCATGCCAGTTCTGTATTCTTTCTTCCCACTGCTCTTTTGTCAATTTGTGTTGTTCCAAAACACTATAAGGAAAAAAATCTATGAAAATGCCTCTATCACTGAAAATCAATATCCTTTTAGAAGTCTAGAATCATACCCTGACTGTGGTGGTTGTTATATAAATATATACAAAATAAAACTGCATAGAATAAATTCAGAGAGAGAGAGAGAGAGAGAGAGAGAGAGAGAGAGAGACACCCCGCCCCCCCCCCACTGTGGTGGTTGTTATACAAATATATACAAAATAAAACTGCATAGAATAAATTCAGAGACACACACACACACACACACACCCCCACACCCCCTCCCCCCACATGCAAAATTGCTGAAATCTAAGTAAGATAGGTAGATTGTATCAATGTAGATATTTTCACTGTGATACTGTACTGAAGTTGGGTAAAATGTTACCATTAAAGAAGGCTGGGAGAAGGATGCATAGGATCTATTATATTATAATTGTATGTCAATCTACAATTATCTCAAAATAAAATTTCTCAGATCTTGAAATTATTTTGAACAACACATTTAAAATAGTTATTATACAGATAGTTTATAAGAATTCAAATGTTTTAAGTGACTAAAATACTGGACAAAAAGGGGAAAGTGACTCATTATTAATAGACAAATTACAGAACAGACTGAAAATCAGAATTTAGGCCTTACTTCTTTTACTGTATTTTTGTGCTAAATTTAATTTTATTTTCTATTAGTAATACTTTATATAAATGTGACAAGTCATATTTTTTTACTACCCATGCACTCCAAATAACTTTTCATTAGTTTCTTTTGCATCCTTCCAGTGTTTCTTATGCAAATACAGAAACACACAAACTGTGTTTTCTACTATTAATTTTTTAATACCAAATCAGCAGATTCAATATACCTACTATGCATGCTATAGAGTATGTATTTCTATTCTCTTTGGGTCATAATGTTTTCCTTAGTGATGAACCCTCAGATCCTACTTTACTAATAGCAAAAGATACTGTGTTAAAATATTATTGTTTTGCTATATAAAAATTTTACATGAAACCCAGGGATTTCTTGGCAATATAAAAGAAAAATCTTAGAATGCAATCCTCCATTGGACAAGTTACTGTCTAGAGTGGATCACTCAATGGCGTTTCAGACAGACCATTATGTTATTAAAAACTGCTCCTTTCTCTCTGTATCCTCTTTTAAGCCCTTGCTTTGGGGGAAAGGAGTTTTGTCTTCTTTCTTAGAGTATTTAAATTTCCACTTTTTTCTTGACTTGATCCTCCCTCTCTTGCTGCCTGGCCTGTGCTCACCAGCAGGAATGCAATCAGCCTTGAACGCACAATCAATTCAGCCCGCTGCTGGTATCAGGATGTTAAACACTAAAGCTCACTCCTTCCTGTCTTAAATACTGCAGCTAAGGGATGATCCTTAGCTCATTCTCTTTAAGTGATTATGTGTACTAAATGGCCACAATTATGTTGCTGCATGTGAATACGGTGTTTAATGAATATAACTACAAAAATCACAAGGCAAGAGAAGTAAGTAAATCTGAAAGCACGGGTTAATTAAATTGGATGCCACTAGGATTTCTGCTATAGCTTTTTATATCCTGTATTTCAAATACCATTTGTTTGCATTTTGCATAATGTACTTCTATTAGTCAATCTGCATGACCAATTTGCAGGTATGCAAAACTTCCCACCCTCTTTTTCTTCAGTCGAGAGCCAAAGAGCCCTTCTTCACACCGAAGGCCAATCCATCCACTTGACTTTAAATCTATCTGGGCCTTTAAATGGCTTTTCTCTCCACTTCCTCAGGATCTACACTCCATCCTTTATGGAAGGAGACATATTTATTGTTCCTTGACCATATATATTAGCATTTCTACTTGTTTGTGTTACAGAGGGCAAAGACCACATCTGTACTGCTCACCACTAAGTGCCCACTGTCAGTCCTCAAAAGTACTCAAAAATTTGTAAAGCAGTAAACAAAGGAAATTCAAAATCAATGATGTGCTTTCTCTAACAGACATGCCTATAAACCCATGCCTCCTGTTCCCAGTTTTTTTCTTTTTCTAAACAGCAAACTTATTTTGAGACCTGCCCATTCTGACTGTCCTTCATATCCACCCCTTACACCCACTGCTGGAGGTCCGCCATGATCTGACTTCAATCCCCAACGTTCTACTCCAGCTGTTCTAGGGGTCACCTCCAATTTCCTTACTGTTAAACCCAGCAGACACACTAGTGACGCTCATTCTCAACTTCTTTGTGCCATTTGACACTGCTGACCAGTCTCTCCTTAAAGCATTCTTTCACCTTGGCTTCCATGATGTAACACTCCCCTGGTATTAATCTCAATATACTTTACAGGAGCCTTTCCCTGTGTACTTAAAAGTAAAGTTCCAATGAGGTCTGCCTCAGGCCTTTTTCTTACTCTATGTGTACTTTCAGGTCCGTCTCTTTCATTCCTATCTGTTTGCTAATTACTTCCAAAACTGTGTGATAGCTCGAACTGGTCTTCAAGATCTGAACCCACATGGAGAAATGAATACTAGCTCTCTCTCTTGGTTATACTGAAGATATTTCAAACTCAGTATGTTCAAAACTGAAATCTACCTCCTGCAAAATATATTCTCTCCCCACATATGTCGGCAAAAAGGCATTACCAACCGCCCAGATGCCCAAGTCAAAAACCTGGGATATAAAAATTCACATACATCAAACTCTTTTTAAAGAAGATACTATCTGGTGGAGCTGAAAGCTAAACTCGACTTTGGGAGAACAGATTGCTTGCGTGGATTTTTTCAATATAAGAATTAAAAGCACTGACTGGACATCCGAGATGGCAGAAGAGTAAGTGAAAGCTACACTAACCTCCTCCTGAAAGACCAATCTGGAATTACAACTATATTGTATAGAAATCATCTTGAATAACCAACTGAACACTAGCTGGAGAGAAGCCTTACCACCACAGACAGACAGAAGAAAACACTTCAGCAAAATGCATCTGGTATGGAGTGTGGAGGAGACCTGAAAGGGCAGGCTGGGCTCCCACAGGCAGCAGCTTAAGTGCCAGAGGGATAGTTCAATGGCCGAGGTTGGGATTCCCCCTGAGAAGTGTGGAGTCTAAATCCCAAACTGGGTCCCCCCAGCCTACAGCAAAGAAGCCAGAAAAGAACGCAGATAACATCCAGCTGTGAAAAGGAGCAGGGGTTCTGTCAGCCAGGGAGAGGCTGCTGAGATGCAAGGAGCCTTTTAAAGGGCCAAAGCACAAAATTTCATTTGCAGCCACTTATCTTGGGTGCCAGCAAAGGGAGGGCAGAGTGGACTAGAGACACTTGAGGAGAGTCTGGGATTGGTGGCTCTCGGCAGAAAACTGAGGGAAGAGCCACCAGGATCCACATGGGGAGCCATCCCCCACACTGCAGGAGCCATAACCCTCTCACAGAGCACTACTCTCTGAATGGCATCAGCCTGAGGAGGAAGCAATAGCCCCCCACCTCCCAAGAATTACTCTGCCCTACCCTGAAGTTATTATTAAGCCTGACTGCTAACTCAGATTGATTAGATTAAAACTGATCAGTTTAACAGCTGATTAGTTAACATATAAGGTGAAAAATACAAAAAAGCAGACAAAATGGGAAGATGAAGAAATAAGACCCCAAATGAAAGAAGGGAATTTTCCAGAAGAACCAAATGAAATGGAAGTAAGCAGTTCATCAAATAGTTTACAGTAATGATTATAAGGATACTCACAGCATGAAAAAAGACATAGAAACCACAAAAAAAGGATCAGTCAGAAATAAAATGCGGTATCTGAGATAAATAATACACTGAAAGGAATAAATAGGTTATATGAAGCAGAGGATTGAATCTGTGTTTTGGAAGAAAAGGTAGAAAGAAACACGCAGAGCAGCAAAAAGAAAAAAGAATTTAAGAAAAATGAGGAGACCTTAAAAAACATATTGGACAACATGAATCATAACAACATCTTCACTATGGGAATACCAGGAGGAGGAAAGTGAGCAAGGGATTAAGAACCTATTTGAAGAAACAATAAATGAAAATGTCCCTAAATCTGGTAAAGGACACAAGTTCAGGAAGCTCAGAGCTCACAAACAAGTCTGACTCAAAGGGGCCTACACCAAATCACATCATAACTAAAATGACCAGGCTTAAAGATAAGAAGAGATTCCTAAAAAGCTGCAGGAGAAAGGCAGGTAGTGACCTACAAGGGAGCACCAATAGGACTGTCATCTGATTACTCGTCAGAAACACTTCAGGCCAGAAGGGAGTGGTATGAAATACTCACAGTGATGAAAAGCAAGAACCTACAACCAAGGCTACTTTACCCAGCAAGGCTATCATTTAAATTAGAAGGACAAATAAGGAGCTTCCCAGACAAGAAAAGGTAACGGAATTTGTTAACACCAAACCTGTACTACAACAAATGCTAAAGGGCTTGCTTGAAGAAGAAGAAAAAGAGAAAGGGCGGAAAAACACCAGAGGAAAACAAGCAACAATAACATGGCACTACATACACATGTACTAATAATCAACTTAACTGTAAATGCCTTAAATGCTCCATCCAAAAGACACAGGGTAGCTGAATGGATAAGAAAACAAAACCCATATATAAGCTGACTCCCAAGAGACCCATCTCAGATCAAAAGATACATACAGACTAAAAGTAAAGGGTTGGAAGGAGGTATTTCATGCAAAAGGAAAAGGAAAAAAAAAAAAGCTGGGGTAGCAGTACTTATATCTGACAAAATGGACTTTAAAACCAAGGCTAGAGTGAGAGACAAAGAAGGACACTACATAATGAAAAAGGGAACAATCCAACAAGAGGATATAACCCTAGCAAACATTTATGCACCAACATAGGAGCACCTAAATATATAAAGCAAATCTTGATAGACATAAAAGACTGACAGAAATACAGTCATAGTTGGGGATTTTAACACCTCACTGAATTCAATGGCTAGGTCTTCCAGGAAGACAAACAACAAGGAGAGAGTGACCTTAAATGACACACTCTATCAAATGGATGATATCTTCAGAGCATTTCATCCCAAAGCAGGAAAATATACATATTTCTCAAGTGCACATGGAACGTTTTCTAGGACAGACCACATGTTAGGACAGAAAAAGAGTCTGAAGGATTTAATAAGACTGAAAACATATCAAGTGTCTTCTCTGACCACAATGCTCTGAAAATAGAAATCAACCACAAGAACACTGAAAATCACAAAGATATGGAAGCTAAATAACATGCTATTAAACAATAAATGGGTCAACAATGAGATCAAGAAATAAATCAAATGATACCCTGAAACAAATGAAAACGAGAACACAACAATCCACAATCTGTGGGACACCAGGAAAGCAATCCTAAGAGGGAAATTCATAGCAGTCCAGGCCTATCTCAAACAACAAGAAAAAGCCCAAATAAACAATCTAACTTTACAATTAAAGGAACTTGAAAAGGAACAACAAACAAAGCCCAATGTGAGTAGAAGGACATAAGATCAGAGCAGAAATAAAGAAACAGAATCTAAAAAAAATGATACAAAAAAATCAAGGAATCCAAGAGCTGATTCTTTGAAAAAGATAAACAAACCTTGACAAATAAGATAAAGATAAATAAGATTGACAAACCTTGAACTAAGCTCATCAAGAAAAAAAGAAAAAGGACCCAACTAAATAAAATCAGAAATGAAAGAGGAGAAATAACAACTGGCACCACAGAAATAACAAAGGACAGTAAGAAAATATTATGAACAATTACATGCCAACAAACTGGACAACCTGGACAAAATGGATAAATTCCTAGAAGCATGAACATACAATTTTCCAAAAATAAATCAAGAAGAATTAGAGAATCTGAATGGACAAAATTACACTAATGAAATTGAAGCAGTAATGAAAAAACTCCCAAGAAACAAAAGCCCTGGACCAGAGAGCTTCACAGGTGAATTTCACCAAACACTCCGAGAAGAACTAACACCTCTCCTTCTCAAACTATTTCATAAAATTCAAGAGGATGAAAGGCTCCCAAGCTCATTTTTAAGAGGAGAGCATTATCTTATTTCCCAAACAAGATAAAGACACCACAAAAAAAGAAAATTATAGGCCAATATCCCTAATGAACATAGATGCTAAAATATTCAACAAAATATTAGCAAACAGAATACAAATATGTATCAGAAAGATCCTACACCATGTTCAAGTGGGATTTATTCTGGGAATGCAAGGTTGGTACTACATTCTCAAATTAATAAATTTGATTCACCACATAAACAAAATAAAGGATAAAAACCACATGATTATATCAATAGATGCAGAAAAGCTTTTGATAAAATCCAACACCCATTTATGATAAAAATTCTCTGCAAAGGGGGAATAAAGGGAACATACCTCAACATAATAAAGGCCATAGATGACAAACCCCCTGCTAGCATCACACTCAACAGGCAAAAACTACAAGCATTCATTCTGCTTAAGATCAGGAACAAGACAGGGATGTCCACTTTCACCTCTCTTATTCAACATAGTATTGAAGTCCTGGCCACACCAAACAGATAGTAAAAGCCATCCAAACTGGAAAGGAAGAAATAAAACTGTCATTATTTGCAGATGACGCTGATACTGTACACAGAGAACCCCAAATATTCCACCAAGAAACTACTAGAACTAATAATTGAAGTCAGCAAGTAGTAGGATACAAAGTTAATAATATTCAGAAATCAGCTACATTTTTATATGCCAATAACAAACTAACAGAAAGGGAAATTAAGAAAACAACACCATTCACAATTGCTTCAAAAATAATAAAATACCTAGGAATAAACCTAACCAAGGGTGTAAGAAATTGAAGAAGATACAAATTGGAAGCACACACCGTGTTCATGGATAGGACAAAATAACATCATTAAAATGTCCATACTACCCAAAGCAATCTATAGATTCAATGCAGTATCTATAAATATTTCAATGATGTATTTCACAGAACTAGAAAAATATTTCAAAAATTATGAATCACAAAAGGCCCTATATAGCAACACTGATCCCATAAAAGAAACACAAAGTTGGAAGAATCACTCTACCAAGTATCAAACTATACTACAAGGCCCTAGGTATCAAAACAGCCTGGTACTGGCGTAAAACCAGACACAGAGATCAATGGGACAGAAGAAAAAAACCCAGAAAAAAACCCAGAAATAAACCCCCACTTAATGAAAAAATTAATACTCAAGAGAGAAAGCAAGCACATACAATGGACTAAAGATAGTTTATTCAAAGGTGTGGGGAAAACTGGACAGATACATGGAGAAACTAGACCACCTTCTTACACCACACACAAGAATAAATTCAAATGAATAAAAGACTTAAATGTGAGACCTGAAACCATAAAAATCCTAGAAGAAAACAGAGACAGCAAAATCTCAGACATTGTGCATAGAAACTTCTTTCAGATACATCTCCCCAGGCAGGGGAAACAAAAGAAAAAGACAAATGGGACTTCATCAAACTAAAAAGATTTTTGCACAGCAAAGGAAATTGTCAACAAAGTAAGTAGACAACCCACAAGATGGGAGGACTTATTTGCCAATACATCTGACAATAGGCAGAGCAGAATGATTATGCCCATTTTGCAGATTCAGATATCAAGGCTTCTAGGTTTGGTACCTACAGATTCTAGGTTTGGTACCCAAAGTAACATAATTAGCAAGGAGCAGAATCAGTATTCAGAATTTAGGCTTCCTGTCTAATGATTTTTCTTATGCCATGCTGCTTTAAATAATTTATAGAGGCAGCAGTATACTGCAGGTAAGAACAGAACACTAAACTAGTAGTCTGAAAACTGAGTTTAAAATGCCTTTTTCAAAAGTTAGAAACTTAATTTTAATTCTGTGCAGGAAACACAGGCTGGTACTTATTTTCAAAAGCATTTATTAAGCATCTATTTGCCTGTGTAAGAATTTTTACCAAGCAGCAACAGTCACATTCTCCCCTAGGTCCAAATCTCCATGTATTGCTTATCTTGTAGAAATAGAGACGAGGAAGGTTTAGGTAGTTGCAAATTATATAAATCTATGTAGCTACTGAGTCATAATTTTTAAAACTATACTCCCTGACTCAGTTGGCAACTTGAAATAGTTTTTTTAAAAACTGTATTTACAAACTTCTGAAATATAATTTTTCAGAGAATATAACATAAAAGCATGTTTCACTTACCGCTGTGGTAGGAGTCTATCATTAGCCAGGTAGCCTGGTTTGTGAATCTCTTTGTTATAATCTCCATACTTTGCTTGGACAGCATAGGAAGCCAAAAGGACTGCAGTTTCTGGAGGGCAATATATCTCATCATTTAAGATAGCTTCTTTGACTTGCAAGAAGAAAAGTCTCTGGGTTATTTCTTGAATTAATTCCTCAGAAACATCTTCAGGAAAGAATTTAGCTCTAAATTTGAACTGTAAAGGATTCTCTTTTTTAACATCTTGCTGTGTAACCTGGAATAGTAATTTCAAGTATAATCAACAAAAATCTTAAGTTCAAAATAACTGAATCCAGTCACATCAAATTCTTTTTATAAGAAAGTAGGATGTAAAACATCAGTAAGGTTCTAAATCTACAAGATTCTAAAGTTTTAAAAAATATATTTGAGAAAAAAAAGATTCTACGCTTACAAATACGGCCTATAACGCACAGATTCTAGTAACTAAACTGTAACTTCTCTTGAGAAGCTTATTCTGTAGATGTTTAAATAAAAGTCAAAGTACTAAGTTATACCTAATAATATTTCTTATGTGGTAAGTTTTCAAATAGGAAAAGCAAACCTTCCTTTTTCTAACGTAAGTCGATGGTGCCTTATTGAATTAAAAGACATGAGACCTTTAATAATTCACAAAGATAATTGCAAGAGGAGGTCCGAATCAGTCAGACGCTAAGCTTTTCTGGCACAAATATAAGATTATTAACTTGTAAGTAACTTAGTTATTAGCTGATTTTTAGTATACATACTTTACCTTTTTATTTAGTTTAAGCCATGTAGAATAACCTTTGCTGTCCACATACTGCAGCCCAAAAAACCAGACCTCACGCAAACCAACTGTTTTCACCACCTTAAAAAATAAAAGTAAATTTCAGCTCAACATTCACACTATACTTAGATGGCACTATACTTCAAAAGAAAAACAAAACTATATAGGTATTATAGATATATTCCTTTGTTACAGAGAAGCTCTTTTTTAAATTTAACATGTTAATTAAAGGAATATTTCTAAAAACTTAAATTCAGGTTTGTATATTAAATTTTATAGTATCATTTCAGTCATATTAGATCCATTTTTTTCTACTTCCTTTTTCTTCTCAACTCCCATCATGATCTCAACAGGTAAGAAGAATCTGGGAAAATGGAAATAGAGCTGTCATAATCCCATTTTACTATTTCAATTTAAGCCCACAAAAAATGCAGACTTGTGTAGCCACTATGAAAAACAGTATGGAGGTTCCTCAAAAAACTAAAAATGAAACTGTCTTATCACCCACCAATTCCACTTCTGGGTATATATCCAAAGAAACCCAAAACACTAATTCAAAAAAATATATGCACCCCTAGCCTCAGTAAACTGAGCACCAGCTTGTGAACCAAAAAGTCACTGGTTCAATTCCCGGTCAGGGCATACTCCTGGGTCGTGGGCCAGGTATCCAAGTGGGGACGGACGAGAGGCAACTGATCAGTCTTCCTCTCTCTCTCTCTTTCTCCCTCCTTTCCCCTTCCTCTAAAAATATATAAATAAAATCTTGCACCCCTATATTCCATTTACTACCACAACTATACTATTGGTCAGGCAAAACAAACAGCACCATTTTGGTGACGAAGAGTCTTTGAAGAGATATAAGTGCCATGGCCCAGGTTATCCGGCTGGTGATTTCACCCCCGCTCCTTCCCTTCACTCGTCATTGTGTAGTCTACGTTTTTCCCTCACAGAGCATGAAACCATTCTTGGAACATGCCATGAAGTTCAGCCTTCTACAGCTTTGCTCTTGCTTTTTCCTGTCTATAATGTTTCTTCTGTACTTTTACCTCCTGTTGAATAATTTATTCCTTAAGGCCCAGCTCAGCTAACATGCCTTCTGTGAATGAAGCTCTCCTACATCCAGATAAAATGAATCACTTGTTCCTTGATGACTCCCACAGTACTCTACCTACACTGCTATTAGAACAAGGGCTCAATCATATCATAATTAACTGTATTAGCAGTATGTCTATACTCTCCTTGACTGTCTAAAATTAAGGACAGAGATTTGTCTTGTTCATCTTAACATCTATGTCATCTCAAAGAATGATCAGCCTGTGGTAAGCACTCAAAAGTAGTACAAGTAAATAAAGTGCTAAATTAGGACCCATAGCCAGGATTGTACCAACACTCAACATACTGTATTTTTTAAAATCTATATTTAAAATAAGAAAATTGAGCCAGAGGAGATGAGAATTTATTAACATTTAGATAGCTTTACAGAAAGATTCAACATTAGTTCTTAAGAGGTAAATAACTGTTTTGGGTTTACTTTTTTGTTTTGTTTTGTTTTGTTTTTACTTTTAAATCTATAAACAGGCCAGACACGCTGACTGGTGAAGGAAGCTCAGTAGATTGGGCAATGTCCCGCCAACCAAAAGATCGCCATTCAATTCTAGTCACAGTACATGCCTGGGTTGCTGGCCAGGCTCCCAAGTGGGGACATGCGAAAGGCAACTGATCCATCTTTCTCTCCTTTTCTCTCTCCCCCTCCCTTCCCCCCTCTCTAAAAATAAATAAATAAAATTTTTAAAAAAATAAAAATATGCCAGGCTCTTGATTTCAAGATATCAAAACTGAAGCCTTCAGTTTGCTTTCCTTTTCTTGAAAAGTTTCACTGAAATGACAGACAAAACACAAACACCAAATTAAAAATAGGAAAAATTATTTAGTTGTGCTAAGAAAGGTTACCATAAAAGAACTCAAAACTGAGAAATTTCTGAATGATCTGGGATCTATTGTAAAAACTCACACTGATGCAAAATCTAACCAATGCCAAACAACATAACTTACACATGAACAAAGACCCCAAATACTTTATCTTTGGCAATAGAGCCACATAAAACATTCCAGCTCAGAGTGGCAAGGTAGGAAATTTACACAGGTCAAAGGCAAGAGCGAAAAGTGTATCAAATCAAAGTACCTGACCTCAGCCTCTGCCCCCAGGCTTTATGTGATTTGCAATGCTGTTTAAGTAAAAGAGGACTTGTCACAGTAGGCACCAGGGATTGTACCTTAACTTAGGTTACCACAACACCGGGTAGGGCAGGAGAGCTCAGCTGTGAAATTCCTGGAAAGGTCCTGTATTTTCAATGACTCTTTTCCTACTTCTGGAAGTGTCCTCAGAAACGTTCAATCACATACATGTACAGAGTGAGGCAAAAGTATGTTTACAGTTATGAGTACACAAAACAGAATTTATTCTTGTATTAATAAGTATTGTACTATTTTCCATATGAACAGCTGTAAACGTACTTTTTCCCCACCCTGTGTAAGTTAAAAAAAGAAAATGCTTGGGCGCATAACTACACTATATGTATATTTATTTATAAATTATACACATGCTATCATACATATTATAAAGCACATATTTTTAAAATAACTGAAAGATGAAAGACAAAAATATAAACATTTTAGTATTTTTTTTCTTGTATCCTAACAGATCATGTGGTGCACTCCTTAAGGTTATGAATACTCTAATCCCACAGGTAGAAGCTGGAAGATGAGGCTAGTGAAGGAAGAGTCAGCAGGGAGCAAACAATGAACCTTAGGCACTCAACCTGAGCCTCCTACACACAGCAGATGGTCTCAAGCCAACATCATAATTAGAAGACACTTTGCTGCAGGTGGATTCATGCAGCTATGTATCCTCATTTGAGGGGACCCCTATCTCTTGGTCTGCTCCTGGCCTAACCCTGAACCTACCTACCTGCCAGCTCACCCCATAAACTCACTACACCCAAGGTAAAGCCTGCTCTTAGATTCTTACACTCAGGCTCAAGAAAATTTGTCAGGAAACAGAACAGCAACTGTAAGAACTGGCAAGAAAGCCAGGAACAGACAACAATCCTTAATCTGGACCTTCATTTACAATATGACATATAGTATATGTGTGCTGTATGCATGTATGTAAAATACTGTTCTGTATACTTTACATGGAGTCTCAATTTTCACAACCGCTTTCTAAGGGAGTACTGTTGTCATCATCCTAATTGTATGAAGGAGAAAAATGAGGAAAAGGCAGGAATCTGTCCAAAATTAAACAGTAATAGCTAGGGTTCTACTGCAGACAGATGTGGCTGCAGAGCCCATATTTTTAAACTACTACATATTACTGCACTATAATAAATGGGGTTTCATTATCCCTGGAATCTAAACTAAAACAATTCTGCTTAATAAATAACAAATATTTATTTTTCAGTATCAATACCAAACAGGTCCACTTGCTTGTTAGTTTTTGTTACCATAAGCATTTCACTCATTATATAAATAACATTTCAACTTGCTATGAAGTACAATAAATGCTAACTCTACTCACATTTTTATTCAAATAGGATATACATTACATATCGGCAGTCTAAAAGAATCAACATAAGTGGATATTAATTCACAAGGTAAAATATCTATAATGCAGAGTGAATATAGCTGCTTATGATTTTGTTTTAAACATCTGCTCACTCACACACACACACACACACAGACTTTCGTCTTCCAAAAAGGCCTTATCAGGGCTTTCAAGATCATTAATTACCTAATCAGGAGATTAAGTATACCACTTTATCAAGAAGAAAAACAATTTTCCAGGAATTTCACATTTTTATTTCATTATATTATGGATCAGTATGTGACAGAATGGCACCTATTAAAACCAAGATATGTAATAGGTTGGTACTGCTATAACACAAGAAACTCTCCCTCATTCTCTAAGGCAGTGATTTCCAAACTTTTTGATTTCATGGCACAAATAAACTACTCACTAAAAAATTCTGCGGCACACCAAAATATGTATTGTTTGTCAATCTGACAAAAATAGGTATAATTTTTTAAATTTTATTTATTGCAGGGAGAGAGGGAGAAAGAAGGGGAGAGAGATAGAAAGGGGGGAGGGAAGGAAGGCATAGAGAGAGAGAGAGACAGAGAAAAAGAAACATTGATTTGTTGCTCCACGCATTCATGCATTCGTTGATTGATTTTTATATGTGCCCTGACTAGGGATCAAACCTGCAACCTTGGCATATGGGGATGACACTCAAACCAACTGAGCTACCCAGCGAGGGCAAAAATAAGTATAGTTTTGATTCATTCACACCGGACAGCTACTGTTGTATTAGCTGTCATATTTTTACTGACAATTTAAGTGAAAAGGGGTCAGTGCCCTGGGGAGGACGGTGAAGGCTGACGTCAAAAGCCAGGTTAAGCGCTTGGCAAGGTTGCCTCGACCACTTGTATCTGCAAGGCAGAACAAACTGGCAACTGGCGACAGCCCAAGCCCCGGGGCGGGCGGAGGAGGGGGACAGCGAGAGAAAGGAGTAGAAAACCACAAGCTTCCACTGAAGACGACTGCAACCTTTGCAGAAGAAAGTTTTACCCTGTAGCTAGCCTGGGAACGGAACGATCTGTGCCCACAGCGTCCCCCTAAGTCTGCACAACTCCCTCGTGCTTTATCTAACCAACCCCCATAAAGTAAATGCAGAGACCACAGTCACTGCCACTGTCTCCCCATCAGAGGACAATGTCCCACCTGGCCCCCCCGCTTTTCTCTAAATTGTCGTGTTGTGTTATCCTTTCTAAATCTCCCGTCACCCTCGCTCAGGGACCACCACTCCGCGCGGGCCATGGCAGTGCCCCTGACTAGTCAGGTACTTCATGTTTTAAAAATTCTTGCAGCACACCAGTTGAAAGTCACTGCTCTAAGGTTTTAATCTGACTATAGACTACTGCTCTCTTGTTCATATGTAAAAGTTCATATAAAAGTTAGAAGACTCATGCCATGCAAGATATATCACTTGCCTCCTCTTTGCAATTATCAATTCACCTTAATCATTTGACCCCTGGCCACCAATCTTTCTCCTCCTCTTCTCAATAAAGCTTGATTACTTAGAACACTGCATACAGCATTACCTAAGCAGCTTAAATTGAAAAAACCAAACCAAAACTAATGGTTTAAAGTAGGCCCCAGATAATAAAATTAGAATTCCTGGAGGGGGTTTCCAAATGCTGCCCACCCCCGCAACCCCCGTGCTGCCCTTTTTTAAACCACAGGTGACTAAAATGTGCACTCAGGAGAGAAAAAAAGACAAACATCAGTAATCCAAGTTCCTTAACATAACACCCATGTTCTAATCCCAGGCTGGCAAGCGAGCCTATGACATCAAAGTGTTGTTGGGTGCCTACTCACAGCCTGTAATTCCATGTCCTTGTTCCTGACATCCCCTGTATCTCCAATACGCATCTACTCCACTATGTGGAATGTCTCCAACTTCCTCTTAGTCTTCATTACAATGCATAGCAGATATGAATACAATATGGACAGATCTTGAGAATATTATTCTAAGCAAAGTCAGTCAGAAAAAGCTAAAAATCATACGAGTTCACTCATATATGGGATATAGAACTGAAACTCATAGACATAGACAACATCATGGTGGATACTAAAGGGAAGGGGGTCGGGGAGTAGTAAAGGGTAAAGGGAACGAAATATATGGTGACGGAAGATGATTTGACTGTGGGTGGTAGGCACACAATACAATATACAAATCATGTATCAGAAATGTACACTTGAAACTTGTATGTCCCTATGAACCAAAGTCCCAGAATAAATTTAATAATAAAAAAAGGTGAAGGGTTTAAGACGTACAAATTAGTAGTTACAGTATAGTCCCAGGGTTGTAAAGTACAGCATAGGCAATACAGTCAATAATATTATAATACCTACGTATGGCGCCAGGTGGGTACTTGAAATATTGAGGGGACTACTTTCTAAAGTATATGATTGCCTTATCACTATGGTATACACCTAAAACTAATACAAAATAATACTGAATATAAACTGTAATTGAAAAATAAAATTAAAAAGAGATGACAGCTAAAAAACAAAATGCTAGTATTTATTTACTTTTAAATCCTATCCCTCAAATCTAGGAATAAGGAATATCTACACAGCTGTTCAAGATATCTGAATAGGTACTGTAAAAAATTCCAGTGCTACAATGTTGCACTATCAGTAAAGGCATAGAGAGACAGAGAAAGAAGTGCAATAGCACGCACACTGATGGTGTCAAAAGTTGCATACGTCATGTGGTTAAATGATACCTGGTCAAAAAGTTGTTTGCCAGTGGTATTGGGCTGGATGGCAAATTCCAGCTCAGCATCCATTGTGGTTACTCTCACATTGATCTGTAATAAAAACAAAAGAAATAATCAGTAGGAAAGAGAATACACTTACTTTTAGGCAAAAGAAAATACTTTTAACTGATTTCTAAAATAAAGTGATATAATATGCAGGCAGTAAAAAGTAACTGCATAACTATACCTAATACTTTGATAAAGTGATACAGTTTGATTTCAATTATAGAAAATCTATAATTTGTTTTGCAAAACAAAGATCTTATGAAGTTGTCTTTTAAGAACTTTTATTGAATTCATAACATATTAGACTCCAGGCCATGAGTTTTCCATATTCTCATTTAGCCCGTGCAACAATACTAGGAACTATGTTCATTTCTATAGAAACTGAAAAGAGTTCCCATTATTTGCACTATGACACAAGAATATCAAATGCAGAGCAGGTATTTAAACTGAGGTGTAACTTGGAATTCTTTGAATGTCATTCACTATCTCATTTCTTTAAACACCAAAAGCAGAGTTTTATTTATACTGCAAATATACTCTTCACTTTTTAAAAAGCATTCATCCTGCCCTTTGTTAGATTCTATTTCAAACTCTTATTTCTTGTGTGTGTAAATACCTTTCTAGTTGGATTATCTTACAAAAAACTTAACATGACTTAACCAAAATAATTTTAACTCCAGAGTAGCATCTTTACCTAGAATTCACAATGATGTGGTGCAAATATATCCTTTAAACTTTAACTCCACTATTAGAACTCTAAATCAGACTTATTTCTCCTTTACATCTTTTACTCATTAAAACAACCACAACTCTCTACACCTATAGATCATCTTTCTACCTTCTCTAATCAAATAAATCTTACAGATCATTCCTTCTTTGAAGTAATATCTACTAGGAACTACCGATAAACATAAATTAGATGTAACATGTGTAAACAATATAACATAATAAAATAAACCAACTGTTACATAATAAGAAATGCATATACTTGGTCTTCATCCTGGTTCCTGGAAGAGCTCCTAAAACCTTTGGAATTTCCTGAGTTAGAGACTCAAGGAGCATCTTCTGTTATTCATAACAAGCCCCTTTATACATAACAGACTTTATGCTAAGGGCAGGGGGGTGGGGAGGGGAGGTCAGAGAAACCAACTATGTGATTAGAAGAACCAACCATGTTATTAGAGCCACTCACCCCAATCTCCAGGGAGAGGAGAAAGTAGGAATTGAGTTCATCATCAGAGGTCAATGATTCAATCGACCATGTCTATGTAATGGAATTTTCATAAAAACCCAAAAGGGAAGGTTCAGTGAGCTTCTGAGCTGCTGAATGCACCCACATGCAAAGAAGATGGTACACTCAAATTCTACAAGAACTGAAGCTCCTGTGCTTAGGACTGTTCTGGATTATACCCTCTGTATCTCCCTCCTCTTCATCTATATCCTTCATTCGTACCCTTTACAATATCCTTTATATTAACCAGTACATTAGTAATAAGTGTTTCCCTGAATTCCATGAGCTGTTATAACTAATTATAGAAACTGAGGAAGGAATCATGGAAATCCCCAATCTGCAGCCAATTTAGATAAAAGTGTACATAACCTGGGACCTACCACTTGTGATTGGTGTCCGAAGGGTGCAAGGCAGTCTTATGGGACTGAGCCATTAACCTGTCCCTGCTAAACTCCAGGTAGTTGGTGTCAGAATGAATTAAATTATAGGACACACAACTGGTATCCACACAGAACTGCAGAATTGCTGGATATGAAAAACCAACATATTTGGAGCCAGAAATGTTTTTTCATTCACCCATAAATCTACCACCACCTCTTAACGAGAAATAACAAATAATATTGCCTATACCAGTGTATTTCTTCTTTGTGAATTTCTCTGTCCTCAATTCCCCACAGGTAAGCACTAACCTGAATTTTGTATCATTCTGTTGCTTTTTTAAAAATAGTTCTATCACAAATGTAGGTATCTATATGTCAAGTTAGTTTTTCTTGTAATTTCATTTTTCTTGATTAGTACTTACTAATATTTCTTGGTGTAGGCTATGGTAACATGGGTATATTTTATGAAAATGCATAAACCTATGATATATTTGATAAAAAGTGTTGACAAGTATACCACATTGTAGTTTGCTTTTTCTCAATTGCAGTTCTAACATTCACTGATGTTTTTGTGAGTAGTAGTTTTTACTGCTATACAATATCTATGTTAGCTAATAATTAATTTACCCATTTTCCTGTCAATACACATTGTTTCCAATTTTTACCATTAAGAATAGTACTGCTATGAACATTCTTATACATATCTCCTAGTGCATATGTGTCTCGACAAGTTTCTCTAGAAGTATATAGTCGGAAGAATTCCTGGGTAATAAATTATGTATACTTTCAACTTTACCGTGTAATGTAAAATTGCCTTCCAACATGACAGTATCGACTTAAATTCTCATGGACAGCATCTAAGAATTCCCACTGATCTGTCTTTTCACCAATAGTAGGTATTATCAGAATTTTTTTTAATGTTTGACAATCTAGTGGATGTAAACAATATTTTCATATGGTCTTAACGTGCAGATCCCTGATTCCTAATGAGGCTGAGAATATTTTCATATGGGTAGTATGCAGAATTCTAAGATGGCCCCCAGAAATCTCCATCCCTGGTATTACTCGCGTGGTTGTTACATTACATAACAAAATGGGTTTTGCAGATATACTTAAAGATACTAACAACTTAACCTTAAAATAGTAAGATTATATGACTAGACCTAAGCTAATCATGTGAATCCTTTAAAAGCAAAGCTTTTTTTCTGAGTGGTTATAGAAGTCAGAGAGATTCAAAATTTGGGGAGGAATTTGACACAAAATAAGGTTCTCTGGTTGCTAAACTGGAAGGGTCATGGGGCAAGGATTGGACAACAGCCCCATTAGGAGCTAAGAGTGACACCTGGCCAACCACTAGCAAAAAGATAGGAACTGCATCCTCCAGGAGGAAGAAAAAAAGAAAAAAGATCATTTTGCAAGGAAATCAATTCTCCCAGTAAAAGGAATGAACTTGGAAGAAAATCCCAAGCTCCAGATGAGAAGGCAGCTGAGCGAAATCTTGATTCCAGGCTAGTGAAATCCAGAGCAGAGACACCATCCCATACTGCTAATCTACAAAACTGCTCGATATAAACGGATGTTTTAAGCTACTAAAATTGCAGTAATTTTTTACAGAGCAACATAAAACCAATGTTTATTGACTACTCAGTCTCCTCATTTCTGAAATGTCTGTTCATGTCTACTGCTTATTTTTCTAATTGGGTTGTCTTTTTCTTATTCCTATGTAGGAAATCTTTATATATCCTAGATACTGTGGATTATTTGTGTTACAAAAAGTTTTCTCACAGCAGTTTGTCATTGTACTTTATAAAGTGCCTTTCTTTATGGTAAACATATCCTTAATTTTAATATTGAATTATCAATGTTTACATAGTTTTTGTGCCATATTTAAGTATTTCTCTTACTGAAATCAGAACATTAACTAATCAATATACATTTAATATTTTCCTACTGAGGTTTTACTTTTTGTAAGTTGTTTTCAATGATTTTTGCTTATGATTTGATGTAGAAGTCCAATTTCATTCTTCAATCCCCATTAGGATAAAGATAGAGAGACTTAAAATATCCAAACGATGTATACTAATTAGTTAAGTCATGTTCCAAAGATGACTCTATCATGAATCAAATGTCTATGGGTATGGGTCTGATTCTGTGCTAATTCTGTTCCACTGGTCAATTTAACCATTCTGCCAATACCATATTGTTTCAATTACTATATCTTTAAGTAAGTCCTGATATCTGATAAAGTCTCATCTCATTATCTTCAGAAATATCTGAGCTATTCTTAGCTCTTTGTTTTTGCTCTTGACTTCATATAAAATTGTAAACTTTTCATCATAAATCATAATCAATACACTACAATGATTTAAATTGGAACCACATTATATTCATTAACACAACAAATTCTCTTGAGGTAATGACAACTTTTCAACACTGACTCTCCTATCCATGGCTACGGTTCTCTCTGTGAATTTAGGTCTTCTTTAATGTCTTTCAAAAAAGTGTTAATAAATTTCGCCATAAAAATCATATTAATCATTTGTTAGATATCCTTCCTCTAGTTCATTATGGTTTCATAGCTATTATAAATACAAGTCCACAATCCCTTCACATCCTAAAAACATTAAAAAAATGAAGTTTATTAGCTAATTTCTAGCAAAAAAATTGGAGTGATGGGAGACTAACTAGTGAATTAATTCACCCCACCTCTAATGAATATTCAGAATGATCTACAGAAGTATTAATGTTTTTGAGATAGTGCAACAGACAACGAAAGTTTCATGATAATGGCATGTACACATAAATACAGCATATTAGCTTTCCAAAATCAAAAGAATCCCAAATACTGAAACTCATCTAGCTTACAGGGTTTCAAATTCAGGACTGTGAAAATGATGAAATACCTTTCCAATTTTTTTAATGGTTTTGCTTCTGTAGAAATGCAATTGATTTTCATATCAATCCTTTTATCAGTTCTCTTGCCAACTGTTACAATAAACCTGTAAATATTTGTTTACATAAACCAGGAGCCAAAAAACTTTTTCTGTAAAGGACCAAATAGTAAATATTTTAGGCTTTGCAGACCATAAGGTCTGCTGCATCTACTCAACTATGCTGCCATAGCAACAAAGCAATTACAGATAATAAAGCATACTATGTTCCAATATAGCTTTAGACACTGAAATCTGAATTTCATATGATTTTCACATGTGAAATATTACTCTTTTGATTTTTTTCAACATTGAAAACATAAAACCATTCTTAGTTTGCAGGCTATACAAAAGTATGCAGCAGGCTGAATTTGGCCGATGGGCCATAATTTGCCAGCCCCTTATATAAAAGAAACTTAACATTTATGTTAGATGGGATAGATAGCAAACCAAGGCAGGGAGGAGGGAAACATGTCTCACCCACTAACTCAGCAGTCCTGAGCCTGGTCTGATAATACTGCCAGGTGTTCCCAATACAAGAAACACCATGCTAACACAGGAGGACAGTCCTTGAAATTCTATGAATCTTCTCCACTATGTGGAAACAAAAGCCTCTGTAACTGTGGCTTCACCCCAAGCCCAGAGAGGCAGGAGAGGGTCCACACTGCCCAAAAGAAGAAGCCCATAACAACTTCAGCTGACTGCCTACCTACCTCTGGTCACTATCTGTTTTACACGGGAGTCCCTAATGCTTAAAGAGCCCATAATAATTTTGGGTAACTGCCCCGAACTTTATCTCCCTCCTGTCACTTTTCTGTTTACAACAAGATAAACAAATGGAGTCTGGAACAAGATAAAGGATTTGAGCTAACAGATTCCCACATATTCCTAAGTTTTGGTAGTCAAGTCCCCCCAGGAAAGCTGGCACCACCTTAACCTGTCAGTCAATATGTAGCTTCTTCACCCCAATCCCTCCAAGTATGTAAGTCCTCAGAACAAAGGACTCTCGCTCTTGGCAGTGTGATCACCCACCTTTGGCCACCCTTACCCTGCTTTGCCAAAGTCTTTCACTCCCACACCTTAGCTAGGCCTGTTCTCTTACATGAGAATGAATCACCAGTAAACCCTGCTTGCATGCTAATAGATTTGCTGATCTATAATTCTTTACTGCGTTGGCAAGAAGAACTGAGTTTCTGGACGTTTCTCCCATAACATCTTCAAACAGTGTTTTTCCTTTCCAGTTCTTGAGCTTTTGACCTCTTTTTCTGTAAAGGTTTCTGTTCATTGTGGAACAGTAACTGTGATAGTGTATATCTTTTATCTTGGTCCTGATTTAAAAAGAAATGCTTCCACTGTTAACACATTAACAGCTTTTGCTGTAGCTTCTCTTCTATGTCTAACTTCAGAGTAGTGGTTTTTGTTTTTTAAATCATGAATAGTTCTTCAATTTTAGCAACTGTTCCCTCTAAATTTATCATATAATTTTTCTCTTTTAAACTAACCATGTTAATTGTGACACCATAGACTGCTTCTTGTTTCACCACCAAAATGTAATAGAATTAGAGTTGGACATATGGCCAACTAAGCTACAGAACATTTCTCAATGTCTCTTGCTAGTAGATATGGCTATGTGACTAAGCTCTTACCCACAGAGCATGAGCAGAAGATATACATGCCACTTCCAGGCTTAGTCATAAAATAGTTAGCATGCTTCCCTATGCTTTTTCCTCCCTTCCTGCTGGCTGTAACCCAGACATGGCAACTAACTCACCTGCAGTTATAAAGACATTAACGCCCTACGCCAAAAGTCCACAAACTTCCTGGTCTGATGATCTCTTTATACTCTTAAAAATCACAAAGCATCCCAAAACTCTCGTTTAGTGGGTTATCTATCAACATATACCACATTAGAAAGTAAACTGAGAAAATTTTAAGATATTAATTCATTTAAATGTAACAAGAATAAACCTATTAGACATTAACATAAATAACATGAACAATACACATATCACATCAGTATCTTTAACATAAAAGCACTGCAAGACAACTTTTAAAGCCTTTTCATTTCATCCAAATAATAATTATCTGAGGTTATCAAAGCACATTATTAAATCAACTATATTTTACAATTTGAACATCTACAGAAATTGTCACTTGACCTAGGTTACATATCTACTAAATATAAAGCTGGGTCAACAAGATCAGTGTAAAATACGAAGATCAAATTAAATTTCTCCAAGTTTGTGTTTTGAAATACTATTTCATTTTTGGGAGAGTGGGGAGCAGGTGTGACTAATTAAATACTGAGCTACCAAGTTTAAAGGAAAAAAATACATTACTTTTAATAGCTTAAAGCATTTTCTTCTCAAATTTTTATGCATTAACAACAGGTAGCTTATGCCCAACTGTATATACAATTTTGAATCCTTACCCTAAGGAATAAATAATCTCCACTCAGTTATACTGACAAGAGTTTTCCAAAGCAGTTGCAAACTTTCACAGTCCTCTGAGAAATACATTAGAGATTTCCAGTTGATCCACATACTTATAAACTTTATACCATTAGTCTTCAACTTTAGCCCTTCTAATGAGTATAAAGTTGTATCTTACTGTAGTTTTAATTTGTGCATCCCTGATAACTAAAGATATTAAGGATCTTTTCATGTGTTTGATGGCTAATAATATAGGTTCTTTTGTGAAGTATTTGTTTTTTCCCATTTTTAAAAAACTTGTCTGAGTTCTTTTTTTTTAAGATTTTATTTATATATTTTTAGACAGAGGGGAAGGGAGGAGAAAGAGAGGGAAAGAAACATCATATGTGTGGTTGCCTCCCGTGCGCACCCTACTGGGGACCTGGTCTGGAACCCAGGTGTGTTCCCTGAGTGGAAATCGAACCAGTGACACTTTGGTTCGCCATCTGGCACTCAATCCACTGAGCCACACCAGCCAGGGTTGAGTTCTAAGAACTTTATATTGTGATTATTCTCTTGCATTCCATCTTAACATTTTTCTTATTACTGTCTTTAATTTTGATGAAATTCAATTTTTTTCATGGTTCAAACACTTTATGATCTTTAAGAAACAGTGCCTACTCAAGGTTGCAAAAATGTTTCCTCACATTTTCTTCAACAGTTTTATAATATGGGCATTTGCAGTTAAGTCTATGATCCATTTACAGGTAATTTTTTTGTGTGATGACAGGTTTATGCTCATGTTTTCCTATATGTATAAGTTTTTGTTCCAGCACCATTTGCTGGAAAGAACTGAATTTCCTCATTGAAATTTGTGATAACATTGTTGAAAATATACTATTTTCATTATAATATATGTGTGTAGGTGTATTTTTGTTCCACCAATTCTATTAGCTATCCTTTCAACAGTACTACACTTTCTTATTTTTATAGCTTGTGAATAAATCTTGAAATTCCAGAGTGTTAAGTATTCCAACTTTGTTCTTTTTAAAAATTGCTTTAGCTATTCCATATAAATTTTGGTTTGGCAGTTCCCCATTTACATTTTACAATCAGCGAGTCAATTTTAGTCAACGAAGCCTGCTAAGATTTAACTGATTGGAATTGCATTCAATATACCATGACATTTAAGGAGAATTGACATCTTAATGTTTTCTAGACATATCTAGACAATATATACTTTTCTGTATATTTAGGTCTTTAGTTTCTCAGAAGTTTTCAGTATAGAGATCTTGTACAGTTTCTGTAAATTGATTTCTAAGTATTTTATGTCTATGATGCTGTTACAATTTTTCAAATTTTGCTGCTAGTATATAAAAAAAGACAGCTGATTTTTAAAAATGTAAACTTCTTTCCAACAATTTTGAATTTAGTTATTAGTTCTAGTAGTTGCAAATAAAAAATCTACTTCTTCCTTTCTGATAGTTATGACTTTTATTTCTTTTTATTCTTCTCCTCCACAAACAATGCACACTTTGTTACCTGCTAATAAGTCGAGTAATTCCAAAGTGATATCCATGCCAGAAAATTCCAATAACGATAACCAGTAATTTTCTTAAAATAATAATTGACCAAAAGAAAATTATTGGAAAAAAACACCAAAAGTTTGTTAAAGAGCATTTATCTTAAGACAAAAGGAATAAGACTTAGTCAAGAATTACATTACTATAAAAGAAAGTAAAATGAACACACATGTACCCTTCAGTAAAAAAAATTTAAGACTATATAATATCAGCATTGGTATCACCAGCATCAAAGCCAAGATTATGAGACAATTATTAATGCATGAACCTCTCATTCCTCCTATTTAACAGTAAGTTGTTATTTAGTAAGCATTGAATGTGTACAACTTCTTCTAATGCTCACCATATATATCTCCATTTTACATGTGAGGAAATTAAGAATTTGAGAGACTGAACTAATCTAACAAATGCACTCAAATTAAGCAGCAGAGCCAGGACAAGAATTGGAGAGTTTGATCGTAGAACCCATAAATTTTCATCTTAACTACAATGTTACCTATACCTCCTCTTCACTGGCCTACATAATACTGTAGTCCAGCCACATTGTCCAAAAAAAAAAAAAAAGAACAGTAATATTACTGTTTTCCTTCCCAACAACTCTACTATAATACCTAGTCTTGTTTCAAAAGGAACTTAATGTTATGTAAGTACTGGCAAAAGTAAAATAAAATAAACTTACTGGTTTCGGCATTTTCTCTCTCTTCTTGTCACCTTCTTAAAGTTTCTTCACTTTTATAAATTCTGTTGTCACCTTCTGTAAAGAAAAAGCATAATCATCTTTTTAATGCTTTTATTTAAATGTACGTATAGAATAAAATTTAAATATTTTATTTTTTAAATATATATTTTATTGATTATGCTATTACAGGTGTCCCATTTATTTTTGGCCGCTTTACTCCCATCCACGCGGCAGCGCCCCCTTCTTCCCAGCATTCCCCCCTCCGGCCTTAGTTCATGCCCATGGGTCATACATAGAAGTTCTTTGGCTTCTCCATTTCCTGTGCTATTCTTAACCTCCCCCTGCCTATTTTGTACCTACTATTTATGCTGCTTATTCCCTGTACCTTTTCCCCCATTCTTCTCCCTTCTCTTCCCTCTGACCTCCATTTTTATGATTCTGTTCCTGTTCTAGTTGTTTGCTTAGTTTGTTTGTTTTTTTGTTTTTGTTTTTAGGTTCAGTTGTTGATGGCTATGAGTTTGCTGTCATTTTACTATTCACAGTTTTTGGTCTTCTTTTCCTTAGGTAAGTCCCTTTAACATTTCATATAATGAGGGCTTGGTGATGATGAACTCTTTTAACTTGATCTTATCTGGGAAGCACCTTATCTGCCCTTCCATTCTAAATGATAGCTTGGCTGCATACAGTAATCTTGTCTTTCAAGACTTTGAGTACTTCTTGCCTACCAGGTTTCTTTTGAGAAATCAGCTGATAGTCCTAGGGGAAGTCCTTTGTAGGTAACTGTCTCCTTTTCTCTTGCTGCTTTTAAGAATCTCTCCTTATCTTTAAGCTTGGGTAACTTAATCATGATGTCCCTTAGTGTGTGCTTCCTTGGGTCCAACTTCTCTGGAAGTCGGGACTCTCTGAACTTCCTGGATCTCCTGGAAGTCTACTTCCTTGGCCAGACTGAGAAAGTCTCCTCATTATTTTTTCAAATCAGTTTTCAATTTCTTGCTCTTCCTCTTCTTCTTGCACCCCTATGATGCGGATGCTGGAACATTTAAAGTTGTCCCAGAGGTTCCTGAGCCTCTCATTTTTCTGAATTCTTGTTTCTTCATTCTGTTCTGGTTGAGTGTTTATCTCTTCCTTCTGCTCCCAATCGTTGATTTGAGTCCTGGTTTCTTCCCCTTTACTGTAGGCTCCCTGTATATCTTTCTTTACTTCACTTTGCGTAGCCTTCACTTTTCCCTCCGTTTTGTGACCATATTCAACCAATTCAGTGAGCATCCCGATTACCAGTGTTTTGGGCTCTGCATCTGATACGCTGGCTATCTGTCCATCGCTTAGTTCTATCTTTGGAGCTTTGATCTGTTTTTTCATTTGGGCAATATTTCCTTGTCTCAGCGCGCCTGTTAGGTTGGAAGGGGCAGAGCCTTAGATATTCGCCAGGGTCAGGCAACCCAGGTCACTGAGTTGTGATGCTGTGTGTAGGGGAGGGGTCTGAGAGGGAGCAATGCCACTTGCTCGGCTCTTGGCCAGCTTTCAGTCACTTCCCCCACCACCCGCAAGCAAACTGGGCTCTCTGGTGCTGTATCTCAGCTGGGTGGGTTTGTGTATGTTCACGGACCCTGCGTGTCTCTCCAACGGACTCTCCTGTGAGGCTGCAAGTTTCTCCTGCCGCTGCAACCCCCACAGGTTTTTACCTCTAAGGGTTTTGAGGCTTTCTTTTCCCGCACTGGAACCCTGGATTGCGCGGTCTGTCTCGTTCCTCAGCTGGTCCTCATGGTTTATCCGCATGCAAACGTGGGACTGCCGGGTCTGCCAGGTGCCCTGCCTTGCATCCTCTCCGCCCCAGCTGCCCGTCTCAGCCCCTCCTACTGGTCTGGATGAATGTTTCTTCTTTAGTTCCTTGGTTGTCGGACTTCCATACAGTTTGATTTTCTGGCAGTTCTGATTACTTTTGGTATTTAAATTTGTTTTTGTCCTTCTGGTTGTGCAAGGAGGCAAAGTGTATCTACCTATACCTCCATCTTGGCCAGCAGTCCCATTTTATTTTTTATTTTCTATTTTTATTGAATTATTGGGGTGACTGGTTAATACAATGATGCATTTCAGGTATACAACTCTAAAAAATTAAAACAATTTAAAATGTAACTTTATAGCAACAGAGAACTCTCACTTTTTTGTAATTTTCAACGTTTTCTACTATTATTTCACATTCTATAAACATTTATAGCTGTGATTTAAAACAGCATGAGTCTCTGATAACAGTAATATAAAGCATATTGATCACCAACTAAAACTTTAATTAGAGACAACACAGAGCAAGGAACAAGGGCCCAAATACTGTCATTTGAGTCAGATTCACCCACTAGACCCAGGCTGGTAGACACAGAGATAGTAAAGGTGAAGACAGATGGACTCAGAGTTTAAAGAAATGAATTCAAAAATACTTTTCAACCCTTTTTCTGTATTGCCATAGATAAAAGGAAATTCTGACTAATGTAAACTATGAAAGATAACTTTATAAAGAAAATTATTTTTTCCCCTTGGAAGTTTAAAAATCCTAGTAGAGAAAATATACAAGCAGCTTATTCACCTAAGATGTATAAAACAGCCACAGTCTACACTTAGCAACCTGCATGCTACTCACCAGCAAGTCAGTGGCCTTCCCTGAAATGCAGATAAAACCAATGTCAAATTTTATCTTCTCCGCCTATGGTAAGAAAAGTGAGTCCTAATCCAGAAAAACCATCATGCTGTCGTCTTAGGGCAGATGTTCTTACCAACATCTAACAAAAGTGGTTGTTCCCCACAAATCTACCTAAAGATCGAACAGTCTTAATCATTATTCCCTGTCCAGGAAAAAAATGATTATCATTCCAATTTGAAAATCTATAATGAGATGTATATTACATAAATTATTACTTGAAGATCAGCTTATTTTGGTAATATCTCTGCCAAGAAACTTTATTCATTATACTAGCTTCAACTAAATTAATACACAATCAAGCTTCATGTTTTTAAACTGTATTATCAATTGTTTTTTTAAGATTTTATAACTAATAAAACTGAAAATTCAAATGGAATAAAATTAAAGCATTGAAGTTAAGGTCATTTCCCTAAATTTTACTCAATCACGTGCCAATAAACCTCTCTCAGAGGGAACTTCTGAGTTTTTTATCTAATATATTGGGCTATGAAATTCAGTTAAAGTAGTAAACTTGTCATTTCCTCACTCTTATCATTTCCTTGACTTTTAGCTAGGAAATGATAGGTAGATATTCCCTTCCTATGGTCACCTACTTTCATGAACCTAAGTGTGTTTCAGTTCTATCTTCTAACTCCATACCCTCTGGGTCCCAACTTCCACTGCCTTAGTTCAGATCCCTCTCATCTCAGGTCTTAAAAATAGCTTCCAAATACACCTGCTTTTAACATCTATACGCCAGTAACTTCAAAATCTGTACATATCTCCAAAACTTACCTGGCTAACTTGGCTTGCTCAACATATAAAGATTATCTCAAATATAATATGGCCAAAACATTTAAACCCCTACTCTACAGCTGAATCTGCTTTTCTATAAGAGTCTTGGTGATATATTTCTAGAAACTGTATTCTCTCGTGATTTTTTATATCTTTATTACCTTTGCAGGTATAATCCCCCTTTTTGCCCTCCATTTTGCAGAAGTTTCCTAAGTTTATTGGTCTAAAGGCCAGCTTTCATTTCTGATTTTGTTTCTTACATTTTTCTTTTGTTAATTTGTTCTTTTCACCATCATTTTCCTTGTCCCTTGTTGGCTTTATTCTGTGGCCCATTTTCTAGTCTGTAAAGGTGAAAGGTTAACTAAGTAGTTTCCAATTCTTTTTCTTTTCTAATATGTGCATTAAGTCATTAGCTAAATATGTCCAAGGTTAAAGCAGCTCTAAATATAAAACGATCTTCTTATTTTGCCAGGTAAAATATTTTAAAATAATTTTTATTTGAATACGTAAAATAACCAAATATGTACTTATTAGTACACTTAAATATTAAAACACAATCTATAAAATATTAATTCAGACTATTGTTTATCTCATATGTCATAAAACACTTTTCTTCAAACTCCTGATGGGAGACATTAATGTATAAAAACTTTTTGAGTAACAGTAAATTTTCCAGATTACATGACCACTTTTTGAATCAGTACATGATACTATCATTGAAGTTTTTATTCTAAGCCACAATTACCCATTTATGTAAAATATTAGGAGTTTTTTCCCTATTTGTACTATTGGGATATATTTTAGTATTTATAATGTAGCCAGAATCTATAATTTTTTTAAGTGATTTTTTTAATCCTCACCCAAGGGTATCTTTTTATTCATTTTAGATATACTGACAGGCTCCCCCACCCTCCTCCTTCATGTACCCAGATCAGGGATGGAACCTGCAGGAACCTGCAACCTGAGTATATGCCCTAACAGGGGATCAAACCTACAACCTTCTGGTGTATGGGACTAAGCTCCAACCAACTGAGCCACCCAACCAGAGCTTAAGTGATTTTTTTTTTTTTTTTTTAAAACATCAGATCTGTGCTAGATTTCTTTGCCTCTTATCAGATGAGCTCCGAGCTTTCCAAACTCACATGTACTAAAAGGCACTTCAGGTCAATGTGGCCATCTTGAACTTTCATGTTCAAGAAAAAGAGAGCGAGTGTAAGAACTGCAATTAGAGGGTTCCTAAGAACACAAATTTAAATATCCTTTTCTGGGGAATATTTTTTGAGAAAATATCTTACCTTCTATTTGAATCCACAGAATTTTTCTCAGCCATTTTAGTGGTTTACCACACAGGTGTTTATATGTAATTTTTCACTGTTGTTTAGCTCTAAATGTTTCATTTCCTAATTATGATTTCTAATCATTACTAAGAACTTTTATAAGTTTTCAAATGAAATGGTGAGAGGCCTGGGGACAGATTGCTATCTTTTTATTATTTATTTCTAAGTTTAGTATACTACAGTCAAAGAATTCACTTAGCTTTCCTTTATGTTTAGTACTTGGTCAATTTAGGGTTTTTTTACTGCTCCAAACATAAATAAAAGTATATTTT